CTGACAAAACAAATGACATGCTTTAGCGCTCAACCTTGGGAAACGTATTTCCCAAACAAATGACATGCTATAGCGCTTAACCTTGCAAAACCTATTCTCTGACAAAACAAATGACATGCTATAGTGCTTAACCTGGGAAGAGGTTTTCCCTGACTTATTAAGGGACTATACCCAGGGCTTTGAATGTTGGTGGAATGCCGATTACCATCAAACATTATATTTCAGAAATCTGATCATACACATGAATTTTCATCAGTGTTTCTGTTTAATGTTTTGATTAAATTTCAGAAATTTGATTCTAATGAAACTCTGCATGCACAATTGATTTATAACAACTTTAGATACTTTTAACGATAACAATGGTGGTCGTCGCACTTCGGATCACCTCGCCGGAACATCTTAACCAACTCGGAAACAATATTGATTGAAAGCACTTCTAAAACTGACTTTTGATGCATACAATGTAGAAGATTTAATGATGTAACGAATGCATTAACTAGACAATCGCAGAAATTAAATGTGAATCTATATTAGAATACCTCTTGGCATAAGCTTATCATTTGTACTTCTGATTTTGTAAAAACATGATTATCAGTAAATAAATAATGAACGGTTTACTTTTAAATCATTAAATTTACATCGGCTTTTACCTGATTTAACGAAATTAATGAAAGATAAAAATCCCAATTTTTACGTGCTAGTCTACTTGATTACATGTTTTTGTATCAAAATATAGTATCCGTATTTTGAAAAGGGCCGAAATTTTGCGATTGATAAATAACAAATAAACATTTAGGTTAATCTCTGTCCGACAGATACACGTGATTTTGTTTACATTTAACTTTGGCAGCTAACCCTATTTGGATATCGTCTTTTTATTAAATACGCAGTTCGGCTACTCTTATATTGTTAATATACAAAATATATTGCATCATACGAAAAGTCTTCAAGTGTGAGAAGAACTTCATATCGTTCGTTCTTATCCATTTTAAAATTATATTATATTAATAACATGTATATTATGAACTGAGTATGATTATGAATAAAATATGTTTAAACTAAGTCGTTTTTCAGATACTCATTCGTCTACTTTTGAGGAAGGTGAGGTTGGAGGGATAGGTGATTGATCTTTTAAAGGTTAATATGAAGATTTTTATTTTCTACTGGTTGCATTTTTGTACGTTTATAAAAATAAATCAAGTCCTTATAGAGTGATGAAAGCCCATAGCGATAAGGGGCAAGTGACTTATAGTCGGCGAAGTCAATCGTACGGCTAGAGAAGTTCGATAAATTTAAGCAATTCCCTAAATATTGGAATAATGAAAATCTGACAGTATCAATATATGCCAAATAAGGGACAATGACATCTACTCGTATATTTGCAAGAAGTTTATCTAGTCTTTATGACAGATCATTGACTTTTTCAGCCGTCCTGTGTCTTATTCGAAATCGGCAGTTACTGAAGACTGGTAAATAGTGAAACCCATTTTCTGAATGGGTATGACCATTTATTGGAACAAATTTTGATTGATTTCTTGATAATTAAATGTGTTGATAATCTGTTTCAATTAAATGACAGGACATCTTGTTTGTTAATAATTACGTATAGTAAGTAAAGTAAGGTAGTAAAATGTATATCAATTTGGTTTATCCCTTTTAGACCACCTTTTAGAAGCACCTTTTCCTATCCTTTTCCTATGATCTAATGGCTTGCGCTCGAAAAGAAATAAAGCATTTATACATATGTCTACAAAATGAGTCGGTAAGGAAAACACAAAGATATAGATAGAAAATGTAAGTGATTCATCTCATGTTTATAACATTACACGTTCACATTTGCATAAATATAATAAAAACATTGTAGAAACATTATTAATAACAATATGATTAATTAATGATACAACTGACTCAATAAACATGCGTTAATAAGTGACATCAAAAATTAAAGCAATGGTATCTTTATTATTAAGGATATGTGCATCAATATCTCTTCCAACAATTTGTTGCTTCAATAAAAACTAACAAGCTAACTATCATTCCCAAAGATGAATGAGCAGGGAACTTAATCTTAACAATGTAACATAGATTAATAATCAACATCCTCACAAAATGATATTAATAAAAAAGTAATGAACTTATTGAGTATTCATAAAAAAAACGATATCCAAGAATTCCATAAAGAATGAACACGGATTATTTGAATTGCTTGCTAAATCAGGACCTCTTTAACCCGAAAAATGCTTCATCAACAGTTGATGGGGGGTTCACCTTTGTATTAAAGAAATTATATAAAATGAAAGTACCATATCAAAACAAAGCAGGCCTAGAGCATTAGCAGGATAACGATAAGAAAATGCGTACTGACCGACTGAATGTCAGGGCTTAGTTACTGAATTTACTTAAAACATCTCCCAATAAAATTAACTGTACATAGTAAGGTGCGATCCCTCAGGGAGAGAAATCTATCCAATCCAAGCTCAAGTCTAAAAGTTTGTTATGCACCTGTCATACGCATGCGTGCAGTTTGTTTCCGGCTTTATAACTTCTCCATGCATGATGACATTTCAATATAAGTTGTAATACATGACCTAATAAGTACACAAGTCGTCGCCTAAAAGACCCTGGCATCTTTGTCAAAAGTCAAAACCATAGTGAGGGATTGATGTTGATATTGAATTTGTCATATAGTTTTAACTGCAGTTTGAGTTATTGTTCAGTACATAACTTCTACATGAATGATGGAATTTCAAATTCAAAATAAATTGGTACGCATTGCCATCAAAAGAAGACGATGTGCGAATTCTAGGTACTTAGGTCAAAATCGAAGGTCACAGCAGCGGATGAATCTTGCTGTATTTCTCTTACTTTAGTACATTCGTATGTGTAGTTTTCCACATTCATGATTGAATTTCACCATTTCATGTTACACGTGGCCAACATCAATAGAATATTTATTGTGTGCAAGACCCATGTCATTATGTCAAAGGTCAAGGTGACTTCAGGGATTTAAGCTGAGTGCATTCCAATATATTCTTAAAGTAAGTTCAGTTTTTATTTGCTGAAGTAAGTTCAGTTTTTATTTGCTACTTATTTTTAAACCCCGTTACATTACATACATAATTATATTTCAGTACTAATCGAGTGCATTTTTGACACAAATTCAAAAATGCATGATAGCTTTGCCCTAAAACGTACACTTAAACACTATGAAAAGATACCGCTAATATTTGCCAACAATACATGAATTTTGAGGAGGCATTATGTCTGGGCTTTATATCGAATACATTAATGATAATAATGATAATAATAGCCTGATTAGCTTTAAATTCATTCAAGCACTTCCAAAATTATAGAACAATTTAATGCGTTTCAAAATATTTATTCCATCAAAGGCTCGCATAATATGAGTTTATTCAACGCGCTCAATGAATTCAGTATTGAACCTACATTCCTGACTTCATTAACAAGTAGTTACAAAATGATGAAAATATTTTAAGATTTGTCCTTGATATAAGATATACCTTCTTTGGTGATCAGGCAGCTACTTTGAGCTTAGCTGCTTTGGCATTCTTTTGTATTTTAACCTCCTTAGCTGCTGCAGGCTTCTTGGCGGCCTTTATGTGACAAACAAGAACGTCTAACGACTCTTGTTGCAAACGTATACAAAAACTTCAAAGAGTTTTTATGTTACAAAAAAATGTATTTCTCTCATACATTTTACTTTACGTCTTTATCTTTTTCATATGGTAAAAAACTCGGTTTAACTTTTCTTTAAATATGCCAGAAAAAAACCAGACCCAACAAAACAAGTGCCTTCAACGGACTAGTGTGTAAATACAGAACGTGTTTCAAGTTAATCGTGACATGCAAATGGAAGATAAAGGGAAACAACAAAAATATATTTTTTAGATAAACGGTATGTAGTTATTTGTACTTTATTATAAAGATTTAAGATAGGCAATAAATGATTGTTTTGTTAATTTCTCTTTAATATTTTCTGAAAAATGACATTTTAAATTTCATTTTAACCTTTTTGGTTTGTTTTTATTTTATTGACTGCAACTAAATGAAAGTTAATGTGTTTGATTGGGTTCGCCCCTTAAATGGGTTGTCAGTTTAATATTGATTTTGTCCTATCCTTTGTTTTAACGTCTTACAGGTGTTCCAGTTTTCTCTTCACAATCACTAAAAAAGTTATTTTTTGGATGTAGGTCAACGCCTGCATGTTAACAATTGGATGTAGGTCAACGCCTGCATGTTAACAAATCATCAACATCCGCACGAGTCACTTCAGGGAGAGTTAGTTTCGTGAGCACCTTTATTAATTTCTTCTTTTTAATTTCAATATTTTTCCGAAAACTCTTATTAAAACATACATTCTGTATTTCAATAAGAATGCTTTTGCGAAATATTACGTAACACAATATAGTATTACAGTAATTTGGGGTATGTTTGAAATAATGATGATGACAGTGACTGTTTTCAACAAGTAACAGGCTTTGTTTCAAATGACATTTTTCCAAATTTGGTACAAATGTAGGGTTTATGGTGACTTTCAAAATTTTAAAATTTGTTCTTTTATATTCTGAAAATAACTCACTAACTGCTCACTCACACTAACGGAAGTGATAAACGCACATACTACTTTAATTTGATATAAGATGAACATTTTGATAACATCAGGTATGTAATGTTTGAATTATATCACAATGAGCAATTTACAAAGCTGGTCACTAATGAAAATAATGACAACATTTTTACCAAAACAAACGTTCAAGTATACGCGTTTTTGTCTGTTAATTTGCACATTTTAGTTACAACACATAGAAATAAAATATATCAACATATGTTAGTTTACGTACAGTTTCATATGCATTAGTCATAATATGACTCCCAGCTAATTAAATGTTAGTTAAATTCAAATCACAATAAATTGGTAAATAATGTCATTGAACAACCGAACACGATGAACATATACGCACACACAGGCATTTATACAAACACGCACGCACGCACATCAATCATTGCAGGAAATTAACACCATGTCCACGTTAGTATAAGATACACGCATATCTCTATTCAAATCATCAAATATAAATAAATTAGTTCGTTTTTTCAAGACTGACACGGATCTTCTATCAAACATCCGACTCGGGGGCTAATCTGTTGTAACAATTTCAGTGTATTCATTATTATTTCCGAACTGAAGTTCCTCGTAAGTTGCTGGTGCGAACTGGAAACGTTTCTCTGCCTTTACAGGTGAAAGATTCGAGTAGGTTTCTGAAACTGATGGCGCTAAATTGTAACAAAATGAATAAATAAAGGTTATTACAGATATATGTAATATTTGGTTTTAAATATATTTCTATTTATGTTTAGGAAGCAAAAAGATGAAATTAATATTTATCTATATGTTGGATTTCCGACATCTAATGATTGACGAAGAGATTGATGGAAGGCGACTTATCATTAAACATCCCAAGTTCACATCAAGTATATAGTTAAAGCCATCGTTGAAAAGAAAGAAATCGTTTTCTATGAATAAGTATTTTATATTTTAATGCATATCAAGCTTATTTAAAGAAATATAAATAACCCGAAAAAGTTTACCAGATTCTGATCTGTTTATTTCAACATTTGTGTAATTCCCTGGACTCTCTGGTACAAAACCTTTATTGTCTCTATGTTGTACGTCACCTTGACCTTTAGTTACAATCAAAATAATTTGAATAGTTTAGAATGAGGATAAATGAAGCATTTTATTTAAACCATTATTTTGTTTAGAAAAACAGGTATATTTCATATACATGTATTTTAAAACAGAAATCTGGAAAAAGGGTGATCCTTCAGAAGCATTAATCTCAACAAAATTACATAAAAATTGCAGACTCGGTTTAATTGAGTCTGTACATAAGGGATAATGAAAAAGTGCAACATTCCTCACGCCTCCTAGAACACCTGCTGGTTTGAGCGGTACTTATTTTTGAACATTTAGTGTGCTGCAATCAATGATTAGAAGCCAGAGAATAATGGGTATTTTAAGATGTAAATAAATCAAATTAAACATGATTTAAAGTTTTTAAATAATTATTAAGATACAACTTAGATCGTAACTTTAACAGTAAACTATCATGGTACACAGTTGTAGACATTTCACCTTTATCAATCCGTTACCTTAGTTTGCTTTCTTAACTTTGTAGGAGTTACATACCTATTTATATTATACATACATGCACATATTTCATATATTTATTAAAAATATAACTGACTTTACAGAGAGAAAAATGTCATTGTGCTCATATTTCTTTCATTTTTCTTTCAGAATATGTGCTTCTAAACTGTTTGTTCTAGTATTAGGAAATATAATTATGCTATGTTTATTAACAAAATGGTTTCACCTTCTTGTGCAAAATTTATAGTTTTTCCTGCTTCATTCTTTTCATTTCCGGTCTTTTTTAACGCATTAAGAACTTCGACAGGTTCAAAATAGCCTGATATAACTACATCTGCGTCACCCGTGGTCTGATTTGTCACTGGAACAGCTGAACCTAGATTAATATGATTAAACATATGAATTCAATGGAAAAGAATACAATATCAATATCTTTGATCACATCCTAATTAACCTCAGTCGTGTTTACATCATGTCAACGTTGGAATACTTAAGTTAAACAAGCAAATTCGTTGAATTTATATCCCCCGCCGAGTACTGGTTATTATTAACACAACAACTGAAGACATAAGGCTTTATTTATATATTAATCATGGCATAAACTGTAATATTCTTTGAACTTGAAGCCTTGTACCTTCAAACAAGAAGAATTTTTAAGTTTTCACTATATACATATAAGGAAAATCTATGACCCCTGGAGTGGGGCCAATTTTGACCCAAGGGCTAAAATTTGAACAATTTTGGTAGAGGACCTATAGGTTATATCATATACCAAATATCAAAGCTCTAGGCCTTGTACTTTCAGACAAGATTTTTTAATTTTGCATTTTTAAAACTCCTTTTCTGGCCCTGTGACCTACTTATGCAACACACCGGAACCATTTGATCAACTTTGGCAGGGGACCACCATAGGATCATTCCTGTAAAGTTTGGTTGCTGTGCAGTCATTTGTTTCTGAGGAGATGTTGTTTAAAGAAATTGCTGACGACGCACGACGACGGACGGTGGGGGATCACAATAGCTCACCTAGATGTAAAAACATCTTAATCTCCAGACTTCATTGCCATTTTCAAGGCATCAAGAAGGGATCTCACAATTTTCAAATATTTTTAAATGTTATTGTAACAAATCATTTTAATTCTAGAAATGTGTCCATAGGACACGGGTGCCCCCACCGCGCCACCGTTCTGTCAATCTTATGACTCTAGGTCAAATATTTTTTGAAAACTAAAAATCTTTTTACTAAGTAAAGGGCAGGAACTTTACAAATACTGAATAAATCCCCAAGCAAACCCCAAGTTGAAAATTGCAAATTTATACTACTGTAATTCAAGGGCAATAACTCTAACAAAACTGAAAAAAATCCACATGCAAAGTCCCAGGTTCATAGCTTCACAGTGAGGTGAATCATTATTCCTGTAATTTAGTGATGTTGATCATTATTCCTGTAAAGTTGGTCGATTCTAACTGAAGCACTCAAGCACTCAAGGATCAAATAACAACATAATGAAACAGTTTTTACTAGGTCAAGGGAAATAACTCTACAAATACTGGATAAAACCACAAGCGAAACCCCAGGAACAAACTAAATATGCTGAGCAACTTTCCAATAAGGTTTAATGACTCTATGTCAAATCCTTTTGAGTTACAATGCGACACATGTTGAAAATTGCAAACATTTTCTAAGTCAAGGGCAATAACTCTAAAAATACTAAATAAATCCAGACGAAAATACCCAGGTGCACAACTACACATGCTGATCAACATTTCTGTAAAGTTTCATGACTCTAGGTCAAATACTTTTTGAGTTACATGCGACACAAGTTGAAAATTGCAAAATTTTACTAAGTCAAGGGCAATAACTCTAAAAATACTAAAAATATCCAGACGAAAATACCCAGGCGCACAACTACACATACTGATCAACATTCCTGTAAAGTTTCATGACTCTAGGTCAAATACTTTTTGAGTTACATGCGACACAAGTTGAAAATTGCAAAATTTTACTAAGTCAAGGGCAATAACTCTAAAAATACTAAAAATATCCAGACGAAAATACCCAGGTGCACAACTTCACATGCTGATCAACATTCCCATAAAGTTTCGTTGAATTCCAGCCATTAGTTGCAGAGAACTACTCCGGAAACGAAATTCGGACGGACGGATGGACGGACGGACGGACGGACGGACAACGCCAAAACTATATCCCCCTCCCGATTCCATCGGCGGGGGATAATAACGGGATCAGCTAAATAGTGAAAAATTTGTAAGTAAAAGTAGTAAAAGTAGCTGCCTCTACACTAAAGGAAATGTGATGTGGGTCCTCAATACATTTATGGCCATGTCCCCCTTTAGTAATACACTGATAAAGAAAGCTAACTCGAAAATAATTGAATTAAGTAGATAGCTTGCTGCACATCCGAGCTGTAATAGATATTATAAAAAAGGTTCAACTACATATGGTATATATAATCATATCAATTTGATGCTGCTAAGGAATTTTTATCTAAAATACAGTATTAGATTTTAATCACCGTTTGATGGTTGTTTTGGTGTCTGTTTAGGAGGTGCTTGGACATAACCGTCATCTGTGTCCGTGTCCTCGCTAGTGTCAGCAACTTTATCTTTCTTAGGCTTTGTCAGAACTGAAATATTTAAAAAATATTATATACAGTTCGAGTTATTTTGTTTTATTGTATGTTATTGGTCACTCAGAAATAAGGTACGTTGGTGTATCTATGAGTTACATCACTGCATATAGTTTGTTCACCAAGTATAATATTGTACTTAGTGAATTTACATTTTACATGACTTTATACTCATTGAAATGTATCCGAGTTGTTATGATTCTTATAAAGTATGCGTTTAAAACATGATTGCTAAAATATTTTTGTTTAAAGTGTATTTATCAAATTAACAAGTATGGTTGTAAAACTATTTTACACCACTCAAATATTAAAATTCTTTAAAACATGTATCTAATTTGTCAACAATTATATATGCCGTGTGCATTGTTTTAACATTCAAGAAACTATTCTCGGTTACGCATAACCATTCTGATATACAAACATATGTAATGTAAGATATATGTACCTTCAAACTCCATATTGTAATAGGTGTTTTCGTCCAAATGTTCTTCTTTTGTAACACGCGCATAACCATTTTCCCCAGCAGGAATGATCTCACTAAAGCGATTTTCCGATTCATTCAACAATATACCCTTGTTTAGTGACTGGATAGACGGCAACCCTCGCCTACCTACAACTGATCTTGGGGACTTTCTTTGTAATAAAAAGGAATACAGACAAATAAATATGACCATAGCTTTCCAATTGATTTCTATCACCAGGGAGGAAACTTTAAAATATTTCAGGTCAGTTTGAGCTCCTCACTGAGACAGACTAGAGTGTTAGACTTTTGACACATATCATAAACTACCAATAGTATTTAACCTTACACATGGAAAGTATTTCAAACGTACATTAGTTATATTAATTTTTTTTTCAGAAGTACTTTCCTGATTTATAAACATATATTTTCAAGTAATGGCGGGAAAGGTATTAAAGAATATATGAAAAAAAACTTACATTTTTGTACACATGCAGCGACATAGAATGATAATACATGCAACTCCAAGCACAATTCCAACTGAAATACCAACGGCGACCGATAACGTCATGTAATCTACCATTTCTTCCACTTCTGAAAGAATGTTTAAAATAATTAAAGACCAATTCAATTCATAAACACTGAGAAATTCAATATTAAGACAAAAAAGCTTCTTATTACAAGAGATTTTAAGGGTTCCATTTCAATACAGTATGTAAAATGATTTTTTCAGTTATAAAAAACAGAGAAAAACATACTATTTACTCTCTTTTGGGAACAAGGCATACAGGCACCGTCAATTGTGTTGCAACATTCACATGAAACATCACATTCTTGTCTGCACCCCTTTCCCCAATATCCAGGCAAGCAGCTCTCACATATGCCATCAAATCGTCCACATTCATAGCAAGATATATCTGTACAATGTTTATCGCATGAATTTCCCCAACTTCCATGCTTGCATGTTTTGCATTGACCGCTTATTTGTTCACAAGTTTTACAGTTTTCTTCCGAACATGACTGATTGCAATAAATTCCCCACCGGCCGTCCAAACAACCATTACAGTAACCAGTATTCTTGTCACAACTTCCGGAACATTCAGGATCACATTTCTTCTCACAGTGATCTCCCCAATAATTCGTCAAACACTGTAGACATCTCCCGCTATGTTTGGAACACACAGTGCAGGATGAGTTGCAAGTTAGTTCACAGTTTGATCCCCAGTGTCCAACAACACAGCCATCACACTCACCAGTCCATATGTTACACTTACTTCCCTCACAAAATGTACTTTCACAATAACTTCTGCAATCTCCATCGTAATAACCATGATTGCATTCCAAACATTGGCCAGTTAATCTAGAGCATGTTGTGCAGTTTTCAACCATACATGTCTGATTACAATCTTCTCCCCAATATCCTGCTTTGCATTCTAGACATTGACCGTTTAATTTGTTACACCGTTCGCCTTCACAATTATGCAAATCACAAGCTTTGTTACAATTTACACCCCAGTAGCCTTCTATACATTCACTGCATGTAATTCCTTCTTGCATATCGCACTTGGTTTGAAGACAATTAAAAGGTATTTGATCTGAGGTATAACAACGCTTTGTGCAAGAAACACCCCATAGACCATCCATACATTTCGTACAAGTACCAGTATGAAAGTCACAAGCTTGGCATCCATCTTGACACGTAACTGTGCAATTCTTTGACCAAAATCCATCAATGCAACTGAAACAGGCACCAGATATATCACATCCGTTTGCACAATTTTCATTACATTTTTTCTCGCAAGTGTCCCCTGTCAATCCAGTTTTGCAATTTCTGCATTTACCGTTATTCATGTCGCATTCCTTACAAGAGGGGTCGCATTTGTTAGTACAATCAATACCCCAATATCCAGTAGCACATTTCGAACATAAGCCAGTTCCTCTCTCGCACTCACAACCGTCACAAACGAAATCACATTCCATTCCCCACATACCCGATCTACATGCATCACAATGACCGTTGCTTTGATGGCAAGTATCTGCACAGTTAAGAGAGCAGCTATTGTTGCACTGATCTCCCCAATGTCCAGTTGGACAAAACTGACATACCCCTGTGGCCCGGTGGCACCCTGCATGACATTGACCATCACACTCATTTTGACAATTTACGCCGTACAAACCAGACGCACAGTCAACACAGTGGCCAGAGTGACGTAGACAACCGTTTATTCCACATTCACTACCACATTGAATATTGCATTCGAAACCCCAAAAACCATCAAAGCATTCCTCGCAAATGCCCGATTCTTTATCGCATATACAATGTCCGGCACACTGTTTTGTGCATAGTGTGCCCCATGTACCATCCTTGCAACTGCTACAGCTACCGTTTTGTCGGTCACAAGCTCCGTCACACGTACTATTGCAAGGTTCATTACAGCTTGGTCCCCAAAACCCTTCAAGACATTCTTTACATTCACCTGAGTCTTTGTCGCATTCTTCTGTTTTACATTCCAAAGGACAAACCTTATCACATGTTTTACCCCAATATTCTGCTACACATGTGGAACACTCACCATCTTGTTTCGAACAGTCGATTTCCAAACATGACAGTTCACACGTTTCATTGCAGTTTTCACCCCAATAACCTGAATAGCACGAAAAACATTCCATAGCTCCATCCTGTGCGCATGTATAGTTCATGCAATTCCCCTGAGTACATTCATTTGTGCAGTTGCTTCCCCAGAAATCTTCGATACAACTTAAACAATGTCCATCACTTTTGTCACATATTGATAAGTGACAGTTTTCTCCACATAGCTCGGTACAGTTTTCTCCCCAGTAGCTAGAGTCACAAACTGTACACTTTCCACTTTCTTTATCACACTGCAGACACTCTTCGTCACAAGTTTCATTACAGTAGGCACCATAAAACCTATCATTACAAACCTCACATTCTCCCGAAATGTTGTTGCATAAGTAGCAGTTTTCATCTGGGCATTTTGTACAGTTAACACCCCACCTTCCAGCGACACATGCAGTACAATTACCGGTTATCTGGTCACATGTATTACACCCAGAGGTACAAGGAACATCGCATGTTGTGTTCCAGAACCCATCTTTACATGAAACACATTCACCAGTGACGTCATCACATCCTAGGTCTCCGCAGTTAACATCGCAACAAAGACCAACCCCATACAACGCTGTAGAATAATATAACATATATTCATTATATATAGTTAACGTTTATGTCATCAGTTTGTGTTGTCAATTAAACAAACGTCATAAACGAATATTTTAGACCAAATAGACCATAATTGTAGCGCTTCATGTGAAAATAGCAAACATGTCTATTAAAGCCAACACATATAGATGTTTCATCAAATCTTGGTGGAACTAGTATAATTGAAACTTTGGCTTTTGTTTGTCCGCTAGTTTTCTGTGTGTTTGGTTTAGTTTTAACGTTTATGTGAACTTAATTCATTAGTTATATCTTCTTTTAAAACACTGCGAAAAAAAAAGGAAAATGGAAAGCTTGATTTTTTTAATTCGGTCACTTCCTATGTGTCTCATGAAATGAAATGTAACATTGTAAGAAGAAGTTTTAGTTGAAGCTGTTAAATTATCAGTATTAACTTACCATAAATGGTTGCAAAAATGTGTAATAGTCTGGCTAACAGCATGTTTCAACGTGATTACAAGGTATCAATTACCTGTAAGCAAAATCATATCTTTATTTAATCGTGTATACCTATTACATTTTAATGTAGACGTATGACAAAAACCTGCAAGAAAATGAAATAAGTAAAAAAACGTTAGAATTATATTTCATTTAAAAACTTGTTCGTTTTCTACGTCGGCGAAACTTATATAAACGCTGTTGAGAAAATGGTGAAAATAAGAATGCATTATTTTGAGATTTATCGAGCTATTACAAATAGTATATAGACAATTGAATTACAAATGTATTATGTAAAACTTGTACGCATATTTTGAAATTATTACATATTTTCAGTGCATATATATATATATACAAATGATGTATGTATAACAATTTTAATATAATCAGGTAAAGGGGAGATTCCTTCGGAAGCAATAAAACCCTAACAAAATAAAATATATGAAAACTGTTGATTCGGTTTTGACGAGAGACTACGTAAAAGTAAAACATCTTTCATGATCCCAGGTACCGGCTTGAGTAGTATTCTATCTTCAGCATTACGTGCTGGAGTCAATGAACCCGAAGAATCAGAAAAATAAGACTGACATGAAGTTAAGTATAATAAGTCACGAACTCAACGCGAGTGTCTTTTAGTGCACATTTGATTACGAAAATAGAAAGGGCTTGCAGATGACGCCAATTACAACATGTTAAACATTTTGTTGCGGTTGATGGTGGTGGTTGCTAGTGGTGGTCGTGCTATTAGTGTATTATCATATTAAGACTCAAGACTATGAAATCAATGTTTCACACATGTATAATTGTTTTATATTTATTTATTTATTATTATATTTTTTTGCAAAATCGTTTTTTATGACAGATTTTTGCTAAACGAGTGCAGATCCAGATGAAAACACCTGTATGATGAAACGCTATATTATAAACAAAGTGTTAGATTACTCTTGTCGGGTGTACACTACAATAATTTGTCTTTATTATAAACCTAGGTATTATTTTATGTCTCTCATGAATAAATGACATTTGAGCCGCGTCACGACAAAACCAACATAGTGGGTTTGCGACCAGCATGGATCCAGACCAGCTTGGGCATCCGCGCAGTCTGATCAGGATCCATGATGTTCGCTACCAGTTTCTCTACTTGCTATAGGGTGTGTAAGCGAACAGCATGGATCCTGATCAGACTGCGCGGATGCGCAGGCTGGTCTGGATCCATGCTGGTCGCAAACCCACTATGTTGGTTTCGTCATGACACGGCTCATTTTTTATTAAAATGTACTTGTAAAAAAACTTGGCATGCATAATTTCTTAAAAGTTAAAGTTTTTGGTACAAATAACAATGAAACTAGTCTCCAATATGTGATCGAGTACTATTTTCCTTTCTGGAAACCGAAGGCTGTCGCCTGCATCTGTAATCTTCTGACCGCAATTTTACATTTCGACAATGAGATTTATTGTAACACAAAATCATCCTGTATATAAATCAAATTAATCCTAAGTGTGCTGGCGGCAACTGATCCTACCTATGCGACCAGAGAAGACCAAAATGAATAAATTAATTTCTTAATCATTATGGCATAATAACGCATACATTTCTATGATTTTTTGATATATTTGAAACTTTAAAGAGTTTTGTGATATGCATTTTTTTAAATTGAACATTTTTGTTTATGCACAGAAACGGACGTTTTGTAAAATAAATATAAATTGAACAAATATTAATGTCTCAGATTTTAGGACTCGCATTATCACCAGTGCTTTGAGCTCTTTGATTTTATAAACTTTCACAATTCAACTATGCATTGTCTTATTCTGAGGTATTATAAAGTTCGAGTATTTCAACTATTATGCCTAACAAAATACATGTATGTAACCGTACTTGTTTTAAATTCAATTTGTCTGATTTTATTGTTGTTGTTATCATTATTATTTTCAAAACACAAAATGAAACACAAAACAGTGCCTATGCCACCTGACTTTTTGTGATCTGCTTGGGGCAGAAGATCAAAACAATAAGAGGTTTTGGTAGAGTTTTTCTTCAATAACATTTTCATTATAACATTGAGATAAAGAGTCCATTCATTCTTTTTTGTAACCCATGCAAAGAAGGATTCTTGAAATAAAATTAAATATTTCTGCCTCAATTTATTCAAACACGTGGTTTTACTACACGAAAAATGTTTTTGTTTTTTCTTGGAAACATTTTATATATGAGTAACTCACTAGAATGAGCGGGTTCTATGCTTTATTCCATAAAAAATAAGTAAAAGGAAATTATGGAATAACCCGTCCTTTGTATTGCTTTTCTCCCCGATGCAGATCAAAAAATGTCAATTTGAACCTTTAGATGAAGCGTTAATTGTTCAGGAAATGACTTATATATCTAGCTTAATGGGGTTTAGAAATTGCATGTTATTTATAATAACAAATTTACTAAAATGTCATCAAATAACTTATATAAAGAGTATAAAATACTTCGATTTATTTTATGTTTTTCAGTGGATTACTGATTTATCCGTGAAAATTATATTTGTTAATTTCACAGTGAAAATTATCAAAATATATTTCTACACTTTTGAATGACGAAACTACTTTTTAAAGATTTTCCCCATGTGGTACCTCAATTTTATTTTTGCTGACAATTCTGACAATGTCAGGCTGTTTAAAGAAAAGCAAAGCTGAAATTGATAAATAACTTAAATGTCAAAAGTAATAAAAAGAAGAAAACTTACTTCTATTCATTCAAATTCCAATCACCAAATTTCGTCTCTAAATTTTTTTGTTTCATTTTTACAGTCTGAAAAATACATTCCTTCCACATGCAAAACTGCTCTTGATGACATTTGGGCATATTAAAGTATCCTACGAGCAATAACTGCCGTATGCTTTATGAAAACTTGAAAAGCAATGACAGCTATCCCCGTAGAATAAGTAAACAACCCAGCGTTCCTGAGCCAGCCTTTGATTAGTTTGAAGTTTTCCATTTTCCTTGCTGCTATTTGAATGAAACCACATCTGTCAACACTTCTTTCTTTTAAAAAGGTGTATTACTAACAAATCCAAATGATATACCTCTGAATCAAACACAATTATTTTCCTCCCTTTAAAAAATGGCTGCCGCTTACATTTAACAAAGCCAGGTCTAATATAAATTCGCAGTAAGTAACGGAAATGTGGATGGATGGTTGGACTTTTTCTCCTACAAGAATTGTTTGTTTTTATTATTAAAACAAGCGATCATTCATATTTTTTTAATAAAATGAATAATATCACCGTCATTTAACGTTGATTGTGGAACTAATTTTTCAGCTCAAGACTTCTTGTATTTAATGAGAAATTCCGACTAAATGGGGCTCTCAATGGGGAAAACAGATTTTAATATTAACGTTAATATTATGGAAATTTCGTTTTAACTTGTTTTTAAGCATAAAATAAAAAGAAAATTTGTTTGTTTGTTGCGTAAGATGTAATTTCATTTCATCTCATGAATTTTAAAAACAGTATTCTCGCTCGTGGCTACGCCACTCGTGAGAATACTGTTTAAAAGCCCACTCGATGAAATAAAATTTCATCTTACACACAAACAAACAAATATCCTCTATATATTTTCATTTTTGAAAGAAATCATTTATTGTAACATTAAATAAATAAATAAATAAATAAATAAATAAAAAATAAATAATAATACAAATATGTAATGTCAAAGCACGAGGATAATCTGTCGTGGCAAATACCAGGTAACGGAAGGCGAATTGCCTTTAAATTTACCGGAAGTGGAAATTAAAACCAGCAGCAAACGGCCGAAAAACTGTCTGTTGCCAATTTCCCGAAATAACTATTGACAAATGAGAAAAAAATTGTATTCTCGGAAAGTTTACACTTTTAGATGTTTAGTGCCAAAAGAAACGATGAACTGTCTAATAGTTTCTGCTCAATGATTTTACCAACAAAAAACAGCAACAACAATAATGAATGAACTAATCATTACTGTCGAGAATAAATTTATGAACTATTGAAACACTTGTATAACAAATTACATTATCATTAGTTTATCATTTTTATTTCTAATTCTAATGCTTCAACTGCGCGTTTAAATGCAGGATGATTCTATTAATAGCAAATAAGAAAACTACTTGTACGTTTGATTAACCAAAAACATCATTGTGCCTCTCATATTTTTATTTCACTAAAATAAAAAACTTGTGCATTTTCGATGACATACAGAAGTTCATTATTATAGCAAAAAAAAAATACAAATATAAATTTTTCTTTTATATTTCATAATAATTACCTTTTCATTAAATCCAAGTCACCTTTTCAATCCAAATTTGAATAAAACTCTTTAATGAATCTAAATTATATTAAGATTTTGCAAGACTCCTCTGGCGCCAAGCTTTGAGGTCAAAATAAGAACATTCAACCACAAATACCCCATTAAATGACTAAATTGTGATTGTCATGACAATGTTATTGTACGAGCCGCACCGAACTAAATGTGAAATTGTTAACATCCTACGATAATGAAAGCGATACCTTGTTGCGAATGTAACTTTTTTTAGTGTATTTATACAAAATTTAAGCAAAGCCATACCGCCTATGACATAAGATATAAGACTGATATGACTGGCACAAACTAGAGAGCCCGCAAAGTCAGCGGGTGTAAAAAGTCACATGGTATAACGAGGAAGTGCTCTCTAATATGATCTATACTTATGTGGGGTTTGTAGAAGAAATCATAATGCAAAGGTGAACCCCCATTTAAGGAGGCATTGTATAGTGTTTCTTTTTCGGTTTATATACAAATCGTAATTACGTTTCTCCCTATCCCGAGTTCCCTCCAGCCCAACCGTTTGACCTATCTAAATCAGTTCGGTGACGTCAATTGCGTGTTTAGAATGAATAGCTGTATTTCAAATAAAAAAATACTATTTTTCAAACAAAAGTAATAATAATAATAATAATAATTGGTTTGATCCCTTATTAACAGCTTATGCACACAGCGTTATTTGTGTATATTATTCTGATGTGAGTTTCCCAACGGTCCATTTCAACAGAGATGTAGGTATATCTCCGATTTCAACAAACTGCTGGGTAAATTTTGTTCAAACTTTGCATGAACGAATCTAAAGATGTCGTCTAGCAAACCTACATGAATACGGTCATGGATATATTGAACTTATGCGAAAATACCGAAAATAACAGGGTACAGTTAAACAACAGTTTTCTTTTTTATTAGCAAATCTTTTGATAAAGTTTGGCACATTGCCTTCTTTGCTGGGCTTGGTTGGAGTCTTCTTGCACGGATTTCTGACTATTTATCCATTCTGACAAACTCTCAGCTCTGACTAACTATCCATTCTGACAAACTCTCAAATTGGTAAATTACTTGTAGTTCCTGAAGACTACATTTTAGGTCTCTTACTGTTCCTGGTGGTTGTTTATAAGCAACATTTTAGATGTACACTTGTTTGCTGATGATACGAGTTTCCATATCGTCGTAAAATTTTCACAACCAGCTACAAAAAAGCTACAATCAGACATTGATACATTGATAAAATAATATCTGTCTGGCTTCTACATGCAATATGGCTAGTTACCTTTAACTATTGTCATTTCTCGAGAGTCTGAACGTTTTGTTTGGCAATTTGTGCATGCTCAGTGCAATCTTTAGACACAAAAGGGCTTGTAAGTAATGACAATTGTAACTAACGTGAACGAATTTAAGCTGCCTTAATGCTTGTTTGTTTGTTTGTTTGTTTGTTTGTTTGTTTCTTACTGTTCCTGGTGGTTGTTTATAAGCAACATTTTAGATGTACACTTGTTTGCTGATGATACGAGTTTCCATATCGTCGTAGAATTTTCACAACCAGCTACAAAAAAGCTACAATCAGACATTGATACATTGATAAAATAATATCTGTCTGGCTTCTACATGCAATATGGCTAGTTACCTTTAACTATTGTCATTTCTCGAGAGTCTGAACGTTTTGTTTGGCAATTTGTGCATGCTCAGTGCAATCTTTAGACACAATAGGGCTTGTAAGTAATGACAATTGTAACTAACGTGAACGAATTTAAGCTGCCTTAATGCTTGTTTGTTTGTTTGTTTGTTTGTTTGTACACGTTATCACAAAAATCTTTTTGTAATATCTAGTATTTTAATGGAAAAAAAAATTATATACATTGAAACATGTCTAATTCGAATTCGTCCGGACTTGAAAAAATATTCGAATTGCAATTGTTTCCGGATTAGAAGGGGTTTTGCATATTTGTACATGTGAATGGCAGAATTGTTTAAGGAAAGAAAAAGAAAATGCAAATGTTATTGTTTTTGTTGTTTGTTGTTGTTGCTGTTGTTTTGTTGTTGTTTTTTTTTGTTTGTTTTTTTTTGTTGTTGTTGTTGTTTTTTGTTGTTTTTTTTGGGGGGGGGGGGTAGGGGGGGGGTTGTGTGCGTGCGTGCATGTGTGTGTGTACTGATTTTTTACGGTGAGGAGGTCAAATAGACTGATAGCGATACGACGAATGATATAGTTACTATGATTGTAAGAGAGTGTCCAAACTTGGTAGAATGTTTGCAGTTTACTTATACTGCAAATCACAAAGATTTGAAATGTTATAAGCCTATATCCGCGAGTCTTTGATAGCAATTCACTGATGGTTTATTTTTCTTTTGCTTTTTGATAAAGACGTATTTACCCTGCATAATTTTCAACAAAAGAGTTATTCATTGGACTGCTGTAAAGTAACAAAATATTACAAATGCTTTTGTGACTAACGTTTATTATCATTATTTAAAGTTAATAGACTGTAAAACGCGTTGTATACAATTTCTGACACCAGCTTTTTTACATGTTAAAAAATATCAACTTTCAAATGTTTTGTATATCATTGTATATATATGCGTCTATACTGAGTTGGAAAAGAAAGTGTGCTCTTGGTTACATGGAAATTGTGTATACTTATTTAAGCTAAATATTGGAATATTTGGTATCAAAATTTGCGGAAATGTATTAACTACAAGATTATTTACATTTTATTGAAATCTAATTATAATCAGAACTTTACTTAGTGTACATATGTGAGGAATAAAAAATAAAAGTTGCTGAATTGTGCTGTAAGCTGTAAGTTGAATGCGAGTTGTTTTTTGCCTTTAGATAATTGATATGTTTATGGATCACCGCCCAAATCCAATCTCTGATGACGTTACTTCAGGCCCGTAAAGTCTCAAACACTTTCGTTGATCCATAGACGAGATGGTCACAACACATACTGATGAATTGTCACGTGACTAGATAGAAAAACGTCAAACATAACACAATTCTACAACTTATCCTTTTTACCATCCTGCTGCTACACGAAACAAAAATTCTGATTAAATTTCAATACAAAGTAAACAACTGTGGTCAATACATATCTGCAATTTTTATACCAAATTTGCGACAACAATGTATTTAGCTAAAGTACGTATACAAAATTTCCCTGTAAAAAATTGCAGTAGTTTGTATTATTCTTTCTTGAGTTTGTTAACTGATACATATCCTATACTGAAGATCACCTCAAAGTTTAAATCGACCCGCTATTAAGACTTTTTTAAACAGAGGAAATGTCTGCGTGCGTGTGTGCATTGGTGTGTGAACGTACATACGTATGTGCAAGATGAATTTATTTATGGTAAAAAAAATTAAAAATCATTAGTATTGTCAATTATTATAACAATATATTTCGTCAGTATATATACATGTATGTATATTTTAATCATGTTAATAACAACTATTTGGGAGTTCCGAATACTTTTAGAAATGCTTTTGCTAAGATAAAAGTTCCGCTAATGATACCATCTATAGATCTATGGTATATTTAGTAAAGAACAGAACAGAGTGAAAAACAGAACAAAGAACAGAATTGTTCTGTTCTGTTCAGTTTTGTATTTAGTTAACTGGATATTTAACAGTTTTGACACGCACATGGTTTATATTTGGGACAGTATATTCTATTGTGACACTACATAATAAAATACGTTTATATACCTGTCAAACAGCAGAACAAATATCTATATAACTTTTTTTTCATAATCGAAGGTTTATATGAATAATTATGGCGGATATTTTAGATATTACATTTATAATTTCAAAAAATACTAATGTATTCATAAATAACAGTTATATCTATCAATATCAAATGTAAATAATCTTTTGAAACTCGGAATATTTTTGATAAATTAGAAAAATATCTACGGAATACACTGTGGGTTTTAAATAATTTGAAAGAAGTATACTTCTGATTGTACACACAAAAACGGGAGAATATAATGCATGAAAGATTCGAAAAGAAAACGGCGATATGCAAGCGTATAGTCTTGTAAGTAAAATTGGTTAAACTTATTGGTTGGAAACAGTTGTGACTGAAGGATTATTCCAGATAATCAATTGCAGAAAAATATCAATTTAATTTGTAAGGAAATATGTAAAAAAATATCATATAGTTAACCAAAAATTTAACAATGCCTCCGTGTTTATCTGCTAAAGTTGAAAGACACGGGTTCAATGAATCTGAAGCGGTGTATCTTTTGCGAATTCTTAACGAAACTGACAAAGTGGAAACAACTACAAATGCTGCAAACAACTATGACCAAACTGGTGCGATGCAATTTATCATTTGCACAGTTTTTACATACTCATTTGTTGGAGTATTTTTCTTGCTTGTTACACGCTTTCGACAGGGTACAACCGCACACCAGAGTGCACGGACGGAGGCTGATGCTATAAATAACTATCTGAAGAGTGAACGAACGCTGAAGCTGGAAGGTTGCAAACTGAAAATGGTATCAGAGATTAAAAAACATGCAGAAGATATAAAAAATTATGAAGAAAAGTTGAAACTCTTGGAAATAGAAAAGGATATTAGAGAAAAAAACTTTGGGTTACCCTTCGATGGTAAAAGGAGATACAGCAAAAGTTTCAAAACCGGAAAGAAGCAGAAGAGAGCCGTATCTTCAAGACTAACACCCGGCAAGAGACGCCTGAGTATGCCCGCCGCTTTCGGAAGAATGGGGTTCTCATTTCTTTTCATGGACTCTGCAGAAGAAACAATTAAAGAAAACATTGAGGAAGATATTAATGAAAATACAAATCGTAGCGATCAACGCTCGATATCTTTGTCGGACAACTTCCGTTTTGACGCGTCAAATCAACCGGAACCGGAAACCGTGCCAGTTCTGGAAAAAGTGCCAGAGGAGATTGAATATATTGATGTATGAAATTAAAAAATTAAGTAGCCGTCTGTTTTATAAAGTAATTTCTGGTGTTTGCAAAACTGTTTCTTTATCATACTCAAACATAATTATATATGTGTTGGTTTGTCGTGTTTGACATTGCTGTTGTTTTTTCCTATTTCCTATTTCTGTATTCTTTCGTAAATCATATGGTGTGTCAGGCACATAATATACAACATAAAATCAAATGTCGTCAAACAATAGTTTTAGCTTTATTGATACCATCATAAAATGATGTTTGGTTTTAATTGAAGAATGTCAAGATAACACCAGTTAATATTATCATTCAATGTAAAAAAAAGTATATAATAAACAGAAAATTCAGGGTTTTTTCCTTAAGATATACATGTATAAAGTATTTATTTTCATCTTGTGGTATGAAAATTATCATATTTCACTTGTTCCTAACGCCACTCTTTCATACCACTCAATGAAAATAAATCCCGTATAAACAGAAGAAATCTTGAATATCCTCTATATGAACACTTTTAATTGAGCTGAGTAAAAAATGATACCTAAATAATGTTATTGAAAAATAACTATTATGCATAAAGGTGGTACATATGTATATGCGGAGTTAAAGCCACTGATACCAATGTATTCTTTTAATTCTTTTTCTTTCTTTATTCTTTTTTTTAAATTCAAACATGCAGAATGTAAAACAATCACATTACTTGTTATCTACAATAATGAAACAATAAAGTTCCATGGACATGTAACTTAAATGTTATTATTAAGAAAGGTTTGTTTGCGTTTGAATAAATAAGCATGTAAAAGACCTCTACCTGGCACTTTGGTAACTATATCAAAGAATGTCATGTTGGTCTTTAATAGAAATACGCTATGGCATCAGATTCAAATTTCTAAATGTATTAAAAGGTATAATAGTGTCAAGTGAACAAAAAAGTGTTTACACTTAAAATCTACGAAAATTGTCAAAAAAAGCTACTGTCCTAGGATGATAACTTGAGCCTTTGAACAAAGACCAATAACAATGCGAAAAATAGGTTAGGCAGATCAATGCCACATCCTATAAAAATGAAAATATAACTACATGTTATCATATGTCTTGTTAGCGCAGTAGGTAAAGCAACGTGTCAGTAATGTCTTTTACCAGGACAGGCAGAAGTTCGACTACTGGTAAGACACATTTTTTTTTTACCTTAAAACAGTCAATTGTTCAGAAAACAAGTTTGACCGGGTTTTTCATATACATACAGGAATAAGAGATCGAATATTTTATTACACTGCGATCAAAAAATACAAAAAGAAAATAGAATGGAAATCAAAAAATAAATATAAACTATAAACTATATATTATAAGAAGAAAACAAAAAGGAAAACGAAAAATAAATAAATGATAAAAAAACAGAGTAAGAAGAAAAAACCGTGGTTATAAAATGGCACTACGTGGGGTTTGAACCTATGAGTACAAAACACTAAAAGTTACAATTACTCCAATCTACCGGCAGAGCCATAACGGTAATACACAAACGATTTTGTAAGAATAATGCTATATAGTATATACAAGTGTTTACTTTTACGATATCGGATAATAATCCAGATAACTCCGTTTTTGGACTTTCCCATGTACCGTTAAGACCAAATTATCATCCTAGGACAGTATTTGCAAAGATTCTTTAGCACTCAAAACTTTTATATTTACATATTTGTTTGTTTTGTTTGATTGGATTTTACGTCACAGCGATACAATATATGTGGAGGAACACCTAAAATGTGCCCTTCCGTGCATTATTTCAGGCAGGAACGGGCACCTGAGTAGAACCACCGACGTTCCATAAGCTAGCTAGATAGCTACCTCACATGAAAGAATCCAAAGTCCCTGTCGGGATTACAACCTGCAGCGGTGAGGGGCAAGTGGTTTGAAATCAGCGACCTTAACCACTCGGCCAAAGACGACCTTATATTTATATATTATATTTGGATGGCTTACTAGCACACAATCTACATAAGACCCGAGGGAAGGTTTACATATTTCATGAGTTGCATTTAACTATAAACACAAACACTTATCATATCTAAAAGTATAGTTACTTACAGGAACAATAACGATATTTGAGCCGCGTCATGACAAAACCAACATAATGGGTTTGCGACCAGCATGGATCCGCGCAGTCTGGTCAGGATCCATCCTGTTCGCTATCAGTTTCTCTGCTTGTTATAGGGTTTGTAAGCGAACAGCATGGATCCTGATCAGACTGCGCGGATGCACAGGCTGGTCTGGATCCATGCTGGTCGCAAACCCATTATGTTGGTTTTGTCGTGACGCGGCTCATTTGATATTAACTTTAGTTAAGGACTCGCCATTTAGAAAATAAATTCAAACCATCAAAAATTAAAATGTGCAAATATATTGTACAGAAAAATATTTTGTTTGTATGAAACAAATGTGTCGTTTTAACGGATCTGTTAAGTTCGAAAATCCATCTATGCATTTAGACAAAATGTTCGTTAGACCAAGAAATGAACGGATTCGGATAGTGATTTTGGTCTGTCCATGTTTTTCACTGCATTTACTTTGTCAGTATCCGGTGAGATTCTGGATCCAGAAAGTTCCGTACGAAACACACTACATGTGTATATTTTTTCGGGGTGGGTGGAGGTGGGGGTCGCGTCGCACCAACACTTTATAGGTCATATGGCGACTTTCCATCCTAAGCTGTACTGGCGGAGGAAGACCTTAGGTTATTATTACAGGCATGAGCGGGCACCTGAGTAGAACCACCGACGTTCCAAAAACTTCGAAAAAGAAACTGTGAGTGATGTGGATTTAATGGTAACATAAACTATTATTGACTTATCAATTCATAAATAAGACAAATAAACGTAGATACATTATTTATTAGGAATCATAAAAAAAGCTTTGCGCTTCTTGTTAGATATCACAAACATTCATTATTTTTTCTATCATTACACTAAGTTTAAATAACAATATAAAAAATGATTAAAAATGTAAATAGAAAATCTGTTTCATTGAAATAACCAAGCAACCAATCATTCGTTCAAACAAAACAATTTTTTTGTCTTTTTAAAGCAGCAAGTCTCTAAGTATAGCTAGTCGGGATGACTAAAAAGTAAAAAAAATGCAGAACATCATTAGTTATACAATGCTTAATAAAGCAAAATATATTTTGTATTTCAAAACAAACTACAACCTGAACTGAAAAAGAAACCAATTAGCACGAAAAAAACACTGTCGATATTGTTGATATAAAATTTCTGAAATAATGACAACAGCGATTGGACAATTGTCAGTTTATTAATGCTTTATTTTCTACATCTTGTGTTTACTACTTTAATGTTCTGTGCACGCACCAAACCATCAAGCGTTCACTTTGTTCAAACAATCATGGCTGCCACTATAAAACTCATTTCCACGTTTATTTACATGACGGCTAGAATGACAACAATAGCCGACATTATAAGTCCCGACATTTGTAAACTGGCACCACCATCTGAAAAGGAGAAAAAATATGTTGATATGATGTCAAATATCCGGGTCTTCACAATATCTTATCTACCTACTTTTATAAGAATTTCAAAATTGTCAAACATTGTACCCTTAGACTTATCCTTATTTAATTTTTTATGAAAACTTCTTATATGTCGAATCGTTGTCAAATGTATTAAGTATGAGTTTTAAGCCTAGCTTATGACACGCACTATCCAGTTAGTTTGGTTTGGTTTGGTGTTAAAAATAAGCCATATTTGTTAACATTTTCACATATTGTAAAATGAAAACAGGATAGATTTTCTAGATATATGCCTATACAAATGTATATGATATAAAAGGTCATTATATGCCAGATACTAGTAAATGAGGTTTCTTTGATGACTAAAATGTCAGTGAGAAATATTGTAAAACTGACTGACACAAGTGAACTATTATGGACCTGTGATGCATATGATTCGTCCATTAAGAAGAAAATAAACTCCGATATAGAATGTAAGCAAAAAAAGGTAACTTACTGATATTTAAGATATATGTGGCGTTCATTGCGTCATCCCAGCCATCGTATGCTACGTAACACGTTGCTAGGTTACCATTCATGTTGGAATTTAAAACCAATGGCAGGTTGCTCACACTGTTTCCGTAACCTTTAAAAGTAAAAGAATTCTATTTCAATACAGTTTCAGATATTTGATGATTTCTTCAAAACAATATTCCCGTGTAGGATATGTCAGTTTTCGTTTTAATTTTGTTTACAACAATGCTAGCAGGTCTGAAGCCATAGCTCAGTTGCACTATTTAGATCCGTTATTTGAACTATAAATTACATAACTCTACTGTAGCCTGCATTTAGTTAGAATTGTGATCCAGAAAACAATTGATGTTTTGGAATTAAAATTCTACCTCTTCAACCAATGCAGGTATATAATTGGAACTAAGGGTCATAGTTGTATGTTACTCTAAAGGATTTTCTCTTGGCAATACCTTTTTGTGAACTCATAACTTAATTCTAGTTATATGGTTTTTCATGCAAGTTCTGAATTCACAAATGATGAAACTGTTACTTTAGAATATTTGCACATCATAAATTCAGGTAAATTGTCTATCATTCTATTAAATTGTATATAACGGGTGTTTAGTCCACAAGTTGAACACAAGAAAACTAACTTACCGCTTGCAGTAACTGAATTAGTTTCCAGAATACCAGAGGCCGACATATCTACACCATTGATAATCCAGCGAATGTTAGGGGTTGGTCGACCATTTGTAGCAGTACATGTTAGATTAACTGTATTTCCGGCGTCAGGGCTGCCTCCCCATGCGATGGCAACAGCGTTTGGGAGATCTAAAAATATAGGGCAAAACCCGACAATGCTAACGTTTTAACGAATAATAATAGTAATTACATGACATTTATATGAAGTTACTTTCATTGACAACCAATCTACGTCTTACTTTGAAAATGTAATGACACGTATTAAATTTCTATGTTAGATTAACTATGAAACTAGCCAAATCATGGTGTTTTTCGCCATCGTTGAATGAGTTGTGTTTCTTACAAAAAATATCATAAAATATATATGTTTTAATTACCATTTGATTTAATATGATACTATACAGAACTATATTAAAACTTAATGTTTGAAAAAAAGTAGCATTATGCGACGTACCAACGACCGTAAGCTGGGCGTCATAATCAAGGGTGCCGGCGGTACACCTGTATGTTCCCTCGTCGGCTGTTGCAGCGTTAATTACGGTCAAGTTATAGGTGCTGACGACGGCGTACTTGGTGGCGTCACCGAGAACATTTTCATTGAATGTGATAGCGTTAAACGTCGATGTTCCATTGGCTCTCTGAAATTACATGACAATTAATCAACCCATTAAAATATCTTTTAAAAACCGACGTTGTTTTAAAAATAAATAACTAAATGGTTTAAGTTATCAATCTCACTAAAATCAAATCATCGTTTCGATTCCGTTTCTTTTCGCTACTGGCGGAGGGTAGTGGAACAAAAGTTAGGATATGATTTTAATGAGATTTTTCAAGTTTTGGAAGCAGTACTAAAAAGTTATTATCTAAATATGTTTTTTTTCTTACTTTCTAACTTTTCATAGTTAAGTTGTTACATGTTACAGTTATAACATGGCAGTTTCACATAAAAAAAATACGGATGCCACAATTTTGACTTACAACTTATACAGTCTACTTCACTTATAACGACATCGGTTTTTACGAGGTACCGCTTACAACATACATTCTACAGTGTCCCGGCCTTTTTCCTTCTATTTTCCTTTCATTTTATATCGTTTATAACGAGATCGGTTTTAGCGAGATATCGGTTACAACGTACATATTTACGCCGTCCCATGCGTAATTTTCATAATTTTAACGTGGTCACGTCATTGGCACTTCGTCTGCATCAGTTTGACACCTCGAGATAAACAATGGTGACCAAAAACAAAGGTCAACTACGGAAGAAATTATTGAGCAATTAGCGATCAAATGTGTCGGTCTTGTTTTGTCAGCGCTCCGGGCTAAATTGTCCTTTAGGTGACGAAATCTTATAACAAAACAATTTCATTAAGTAATTAGCACAAAGGAAGCGGCTAATTTCTTGCATTGTTATTCGGTGATCGTGAGAAATACACTGCGTGACTTTTGAAAAGAAAAAAATAAATAAAATGTACATATGAATAAAAACACACGCGGTTCGACGTAGTATGGGCTTTTATATGTTTTGTTAAAATTCTATGATAGCTAGATATATTTATTTACATGTATAGTTTAATAAAACAAAAACTACCGAGTGCAAAAAGTTATCTCCCATTATGTATGTACTCTTCAAAAAGGAGGTACGCGAAAGCGAAAGTAGAAATAAATGATGTTCGACGGTGTCAGATTTCTCAATTTGGTCTGTCCCGGTTATAACGAGACCCGGTTATAACGATGAATCTTGCGAAGTCCCGACGATCTCGTTATATCCGGAGTGCACTGTATCTTAGAATTATGAAAGGCGGTTAATCAAAATGCGTCTTTTTTTAAATAACTGTCCTTGCATCAATACAAATGAAATGCTGTGTAAGTTTAGAACATTTTCGATTGTTTTTGCTAACGAGCTGAACAACAAGTATTAATGACGTTTCTATTAAAATGAACATTCCGCCCCTATCAGTTTATAGTTTTAATATTTTACCATTTTCCATTGAACATTTTCGCTGACTCCCTTATTTGTGACCATACAGGCTATCGTCACATTTTGTCCTATCTCTACTGCAGAATTAGCCGGCTGCTGGGTTACTGTAACCCCTTGACATGCTGTAAATAGTACATGTTTAATATACAAAGTGAAATATATAATTTAATGACATGATTACATTGTTACATACACGTACATGTGTATACTGAATATATACATGTATTTTCATATAAACTACTAGCGTTACACGAAAAACAACATGCCAAAAACGGATTCTAAAATCCGCATCCTACACTAGTTAACACCATATTACTTTGTTTGCAGAAATTTCATATTAATTGCTAGCCTTACACGAAAAAACATCTATATCCAAAAATGAAATTCCATAGCGTTTGTGTTAAAGTTGACCCTTTTAAACAATGCATGTATATTTGAGAACTCTGTGACAAGCTAAAAATTGAAGACGAATTTCATGCTGAAGTAAATTCATAATTATTATAGGCGTATGAATTTGTTGAACATAATTATTAAAACGTAAAACAAACATTCACTTAATACATCATAGCATTTATAAATAACTAGTTGAATTCATTTTAAAAAGAGATGAGAATTGCTTAGTCGTGATTAAAAGATAGCTCTCTGCGTAATTTTCGTGTATATGTTTGTGATTACCATGCATTTGTTTGTTTATATTTATTTGTATATGTATATATGCTATAACTAAATAAACTTTCAGTATTTCAGTAAATCAGAATTTTGTCTATAGGTTAAACAATTTAAAGAAAGTACAAGTTATATTTGTTGCAAAAATCATTGAAATTCAACTGAAGTACTGGAGTTAATTAATCAATATTGTCTGTGTATTCGTATAATATAATCTGACTTTGCTGATGAGTATTAAAATTAGATTTAATTTAAACATTTATCATAAAGAAAATCCTTTTTCATCGAGAATATAAAAATGAATTTTTTCATCATTTTATGATTGTAAAATTATATTTAAAAATAAACGAACAGATTACACCATGATGAAAGTTATTGTCATTTGTGTAACACTGTTTATATTGAGGAAGAATACCATTTCATCTTGATACTGCTATGTTTTTTGTTTTGTTTTTAAAAGAAAATAATACTAAAAAGACACCTTGAAAGAACATTTTTCTTAGCTTTTTTAATTTTTTTTTATTGGATTTGTGACAATAGAATAATATAAACCTTAGCAAAATATAAACCTAGTAAACTATGTAATGGAATTTATCAAATAATATATATTATTTTGTGTAGACTATCAAGTTAACATTCTAGATAAAATAAAACCATTTAAGAATATTTTAAGTGACCAGCAAAGCCATGTTGAACGTCTAATAGAATAATAGGTAATGAGTCTGCAGCCTAAAAAATTAATTTCAGAGTCAGTATTTAAACCATGAATGCAAAATAAAAAAAAATAAAAAAGAAAGAAATAAAATGAAAAAGATAAGGAGAAAGAAAATGAAAAAAATCACTTACCCTGAAATGCTAAAGTTACGAACGCGAAAATTGACAACATAATTCTTGAATTTGCTATCTGTTCCGTGAAGTCCTTATGTGTTGAGCATTGGATGCAATTCCAATATATAGCCTCAAAACTGACCGTTGTTATAAACTTTCTGCAACCATAGTGACAGATTCTAACGGGTACGGACAGTTACTAACACATCCGTCTGTTTGTTTGTCTGTGCACGAACTCTTTGTTTAAATTAATACCAGATAGCAAATAAAATGATATTATTCCGCTTCTAATGAGCCAGCCTTGGTCCATTAATTGGCTTGATCAAATTGTGCCGATTTACATGAGACTTTAATTCCGTTGAATAATAAACACATATTCATTATTATAAATATCATACGTTTGATTTATCATTTAAATATATTTAGATTTCGACTTGGGTTTCTATATTTAGGAAAAAAGTAACCTAATTTTCTAAATATCTATATTTCGTTTGGATATTTCGAATTTAAGAGTTTTTGTGCGTAATAAAACTGAAAAACAAATATGAACAATATTATTCAGCTTATGAAAAATTTATATAGAAATATATGTTATACCTTAGTTCATTTTGAATACTTAAGAAAACTGTGTATATCGGACTTTTTTTACTATAAAAACGACCAAGTCAATTATTTGATATAACAACTAAATTTGTATTGTATGTTGATCAGACAACATTTTATGCACGGCGACTGATCTTTTAATTGATGACCATCATATTAAAGATATTTATAATTTGTTAAGGAAGAATGATGTCTCCGTGGTTACTTTTGTTTTCATCGTTAATTATTTTACAAGGTATGTTTTTTTTCCTCAATCTTTCTTGGGACATATTCTTTAATGTGGATTGATATACAATTGGCATATTTTCTAATTATTTCAAATATTGATTACACAAAAAAGAAATGTATCATTTGGATATGCTTATGAAATATTCTTGAAAAAAAAAAAGATAAGTGTGTTAATCAAGTAATTGAACAACGGTTCCAAATATCACCCAGACAGTTTTGACTGTTCAGCAAATACCCTTGAAATAACTGTTGCTTCATAGAGTTTTTCCCCTCTCGCTTTCTTTTACTTTAATTGTTATTATTGTGATAAATAATATAACTATTCTTCTATTTTTTTCTTTGTAAGGCCATATGAAAATAAGATGTATTTTAATTTTCATTCAAACTTTCAGACTTGTTACCTTCTTGAGAGAAAAAAAGATTTTATGATAATTATAATTATGGTATATTATCATTATTATCATTTTACGTTGCACCGGTAAGATGGCGGTCGATGGTTTGAAGGTTCCATGATAACCGCCGTATGAACACATCTGCGGATGTTTCTAAATTCAAAACTTTACTATTTCATGTTTTAATGTTGAATTCTGCTTAAGCCGGTGCTAGGGGGCGTGGACGGTAACTTGCACTTTCCAGTACCGTCCATGAACAGGCTCAATCAAACCGAGCCTGCAACATTTTCAATTTTGCCGTGTTGGCCTTTCTTTAGGGATTCTGTATTTATCTATTTTATGATCACATCCGTGTTATTTGTGCCGTGTGGCGGCTGTAAAAAGTCTCCCCGTACATTTAATCAATGATGTTATATTTTCGATCCTTGAAGATCGTTCAGCACGACATTATTGTTGTGCTTGTGGTATTTTAAGCTTCAACTTTTTGGCATTTTCTAGTTGGGTGGTTCCAATATTCCTACTTGAATAATGTTGAATCACCCTTAGGATATGTTGCCTGCTCTTAAAATTTGTCTTTTGACGTCTTATCTGTGATACGCAGGCTTCACAACCTCTGATCCCCTTTCAAAATTCCATTTTATTTAGTTCCGCCCATTGTTTTCTCGTTTAGGGCACACGCTTTTTAGTACTTGGGGACCATACGCCGCTTCTCATGGAATGGCACGGAAGTGTCACATTGAAGGTTCCATGATAACCGCCGTATGAACACATCTGCGGATGTTTCTAAATTCAAAACTTTACTATTTCATGTTTTAATGTTGAATTCTGCTTAAGCCGGTGCTAGGGGGCGTGGACGGTAACTTGCACTTTCCAGTACCGTCCATGAACAGGCTCGATCAAACCGAGCCTTCAACATTTTCAATTTTGCCGTGTCGGGCTTTCTTTAGGGATTCTGTATTTATCTATTTTATATTTCCAGCTTATATTGTAACCGCCGCCATCATGTTAAACGCGACGAACATGTACTTGTTCATATGCTGAATAAATTTATTGAATTTGAAATATTACTATTATTATTATAATTATTATTATTATCATTATTATCATTATTATTATTATTATTATTATTATTATTATTATTATTATTATTAACGATAAGACAGTAAAATACAACACGAATCCAACAACAGTTTCTATATTTCTGATCTTCCTGAATGGAAATAAATATACTGAAATATTTTGATTACACACACGAGTTTTATTTGTTTAAATCACACAAAAGTTATAAAATGACTTTTGACGGGAAATTATTTCATTTCTTACTAAAACAATTATAATATCTATACAGGGAACAATGCTGTTAACGTTATATTAAGACCGACGGACACTGCGCGGGAATTAGGCAAAAATGTAACACTGGCATGCATAGTTACCGACAAGACCTCGTCGGAAAGCGTACAATGGAAATATGTAAGTGCTTTTATTTGTTTACATCTGCCACTTTTGTTAAATAACTGATTACATGTACATTTAAATAATATGTGTTTTACGACATTTGTAAATGAAAACTCACTTTTATACAATACAATATACAGTCTATTTGGTTCAAACATTATACAACACTTCTTTGAAACTTGTCGCAGTTGTATTCAAATAAATGTGTCGTCTGATCATGGTCTGGGGACTTTTCGCTATTCAGTCAGAACATAAATGTATAATTTTCCCTAAAATGATAAATTATTTTGTCCAGATTGAAAGATAATAAATCAACAAGAAGTTTTTATAAAAAATACACTCAGCAGTGGTAAGCATAGTTTAGAAATTTTGCGTCATTACAGAATCAGTTTTACGTTATTCCTTATTCGGAACAGTTAGTTCTTAATCAATACAAGATAAATAAGAAATAAGGACTTAATGAATTGCCTACGCTATTTAATCGTTAATCTAACGGCTATGGGTTCTTTCCATTGTCCACATTGGTCAAAGGCTACCTCTATAATTCATTTGCTTATAAATACGAAGTTTCGTCCAGAATTTATGAAATCTGTGTCTGTCTCATTGAAACAGAAAAGCATTTAACATATTTCTGCAAGAAAGGTTCATATTGTCAATTTAAGAATGTTAGAGATTGAGCATTTAATTTAGTACTTTACAATCTAGGCATAAAATAGTAGAGTTGAGACCGACACTAATGTTGTTTTAAATAACGTATTGTTAAATACGAATTTTATTTTTCTCCGTATTTCTCATCATGTTTAGTTTAACAAGAAAATATATTTGATATGTTATTTTCTTATAACTATAAGGAGAATTGTATCCTAAGTTAGAACAGAGTTTTTAACCCTAAACGTATCTTTAAACTTTCACAATGCTTAATAGACACAGCCATTATTTGTCATACCGGTAATTCATATTTTTTCGGGAATAATACAGATTGAAAGTAGTTCTTCAGATGTTAACGAAAACACTGGCTGTAAATATCAGTTTTTATTTGACATGCAACGTAAAATATAAATGAAATATATGTCTGACAATCAGAATCAATTTAAAGACAAATCCGAAATATCGTCAATAGGTAAACATTTCTACAAACATAATAATTAGTATATGTATAAATAATGTACTGTTTAAATTTATATATATCCATAAATTCACTTAAATTAGATGGATCTTTACACGATATATTTAAATAAACTAATTGTTGTGTATTGTAAGTTAGTGCCAATATCGCATCCATACTATAATGCCGTACGTGGTGCTTGATCCGAACATTGACGGAAAGGCCCGAAAAGTTTAGATAGATATACATATCCAAATTCGACGTTTGTTTGCATTATTTTTAATTGTATTATAAACAAAAGTAAATAAGGCTTGCAGATCATAAAAACGTTTTTTCTTCATATAAATTATTGAAAATGATTCTGTTCTATAATACATGTTTTGACTGTTCAATAGCTCACATAAGCTGGACTACATGTGTAACTCGTCACATTTGAGACAATAGCTTGATTGAAAGACCCCACTGGTAACATGCAAAACATTTTACAAATACATGCATAGTAAGAAATAGTTGACCAGTTTGGCCTGTGTATTGTGTTATTTCTTTTATTCAATGTAGACCGGACTGTGCTGTGATCGCGAATGTTTGCAAGAGCATAATTGTAAATAGGTATTATTATAAATGATTGACACAGTTGCCATCGATTAATTTTCAAGCATGATATGGCCCTAGCAGCATTCTCTAAATGCATGTACATAGAGCATGTCAACCATTGAAAATAAGAACAATCTATCTGCATTTGTATTGCATAAAATAATTTTTTCCGATTAATGGTCATCCTTTGAAATACTTTGTGTTAATCTAGTGTCATTTTTTAAAAACAGAAACCAGCTTTGAGCGACGCTTTCAATGCGTTGACTTTTAACGAAAACGTCTTATCCGATCCGACTAAATATGGTATTCAGTGGACGTACAATCTCACCGTGTATAACCTGCAACCGGAAGACGCTGGTTTATACCGGTGCACAGCAGGTGGTGTAGACTATGATGCAACTCTTATTGTTGTCGGTAAGTTGTTTTTTTTCTAATTCTACAGTATAATTTAAATTCATTCACTAGAAGTGAATAGATGGAATTTTCATACAACTTATCAATATAGAATATTTAAATCCGCTTTCTACACCGCTTACACCTTAACCACCATCGCAAACAATGCAGAACCTTGAAGAAACTGCCCCTCTGCACTTATAAATACATATTCAATCTATACATAATTTATCTTAGATATTGATCGAACCACATTTAAGATAGAGCCATATTAGGCCGTATCTTATACATGTATGAAATATTTACATGCTTCATCTGAATGTGACACCTTAAGAGTAAAATTATCATTATTTTTACTATCATTATTATAATGAATTATTATCATTATTATTATTATATCATTATTATTATTATCATTATTATTATTATATTATTTTCATCATCAAATAAGCAAGGTTTTGAAAATCCCAAAGTAAACTAATAGAACAATTAACGATAAATATAATCCATTTCTAGATCTTCCAGAAAATGTGTCTATAGAAATGGTAGGACAGCCGAACAATGGTGAGACACACAACCTGACGTGTAAAGTTATCAATGGATTACCGCCGCCGACAATACGTTGGCTTATCAACGGTGTTGACATGACCAGTAATGCTGTTACAGAGAACACGACTCTAACAGGGACAGGTTGGTGTTCAGAACCTTTTGCTAGCTTTAAATGCCTCAGAAATATGAAATGATTTGACTTAAAAGGAGCATAATGTAAACGAAGTGATATTTTGACTTCCATACAAAATGCTAAAGCACTCATGAACTGTAAAAATTACCAAAAGGACGTACAGCAAATAAAGAAAATGGACCAGGTAATTAGCCATTGAGTCATTTTTGGAAAGAATGAAATAACAACAAAAATATAAAGCTTTTGAGAAATAGAATTAAAAACATTTTTAGTCATAATGGGCCTTTAAGAAAAAGAATTAGTTAACATGTGTTGAAAACCTCTGCTCATGTAGTACAAGTATAAATTCTTCAATGGTATACAAACTATACAAAGTAAATCGAACGAAAAATTAAAAGCGTAAACCTTTGCAAGTTATTTATTTAGGGAATATTAATTTTTTGCTAATTAAAACATCAGGGGTCACTAAAATAAGCCAATTCAATATCTGTACATTAAAGGCGATTTAGATGTTTGTTCTTTTAAATATTTATTTTAATATATCATTGTTTGATTTAAAAAAAAAGAAAATACTGAGAAAGGGTAACTTTACTGGGTACCAAAGTAAAGGGAGGGTCCCTTTTAATATTCTAAATCATTGTGGCAGAATTATTTTTAGAGTCACTAGAACTGGTACTTCGATGATTTAAAAAAATGTATAATAATTAAATAAATATTAATAAATATTAATAAATAAATAAATAAATAAATAAATAAATAAATAAAAATAAATAAATAAATAGAAAAATAAATAATTAAATAAATAAATAAATAAAATGAGTGACGTGAATGACACCAGTGTGATTTTATTGTTAAACATGTTAATTTGTAGACCTTTATAGTCATAACTATGTTAATGATACCTTTTTGTAAATTTTAAGGATACGGCGACATTACTAGTTACCTTTCACTAGAACTCGACGCTTCAATGAATGGGAAGGGAGCGGAATGTATCCTGTCATATGGTGGCTGGGAAAATGCAGTCAAAGCTACATATACCATCCAAACACGTAAGATTTATCTAGTCCCCTTTTAATTGTAATAAATCCGGTCCCAGATATAAAACTTGTAACAAATGACCATTATTTCGCATAAATTGACATCACTTTCAAAGAAAACTTCCAAATTGTTAAATTAGGTTGCTATCTTTAAAATAAGTATATTTTTATACATTTCAGTCTACCCCGGTGGACTGTCCAACTCTGGGACCGGATTCTACAACCCTGGTACGATCGTGTTCCCTAGCGGTAGTTCCAATACAAACCTCTCGTCATCTGCCCTTGGTAATCCTTTTTCTTACACCTTTGTACTCAATTCCTTCAAGCATTCTTATTTTTTCCTACTCCATAATGACCTTATCGTACGTTAAATTTGGTCGATTTTGCATAGCAACGGACCGCGTCTATTCTATTGAACGACATTACAGTTAGAGTCAAAGTACACATAGTCGTTCCATCGATTCTACAAGCAAAAACCACTTTGGATTATGCAAGTTTGATGTCCGTCTAGCTGTCTGGATCGACATTTTGGTAAATGAGTCGCGCCATGACACAACCAACAGCGTGCGTTTGGGACCAGCATGGATACAGACCAGCCTGCGCATCCGCGCAGGCTGATCAGGATCCATCCTGTTCGTTTACAAACCCTATTACAAGTAGAGAAACTGATAGCGAACAGCATGGATCCTGATCAGACTGCGCAGATGCGCAGGCTGGTCTGGATCCATGCTGGTCGCAAACACATCATGTCGCGGCTCAAATTTTGACTGGTATATTTTTCAGGTAATGGAGGATCAGGGGGAATGCCAAACAGGGGGATGTTCATGATCAAGTTTATAAAGCAGTCTGCGAGCGAGAACATCAACTGGGAAATGCAACAATATTCGCCATAAAATTAAGTGACTGACAATATATGTACATGCATCTCTATGATTTTCTTTACCAAATTTGTCAATTGATTTTAATCTTTGCTGACATTAAGAAACAGACTTATCCTGTTTCATAATTGAAATTATCGATATTTTACTTATTACCTCCAAAGCTAATTCCAAAATATTAATAGTATTAAGCCAGGACGACTACAAATAGCCGATATATAAACAGTCTAGACCCAGGTTGTTATGTAAACAATAAAGGGTTTTGGCCGCTATGTAAACAGCAAAGAGTCAGGCCGACTTAAAGGTAACTTTGATGGGTTGCATAAACAAGCCCCTATTGCCGATAACGTGAACGAACGGTTCACATTTTCATCTTCATGTTGTTTGTTTACACCATATAAAATATAGTTAGTGATTGACCATATAATGTTTTGATAGTTCTATATTTTGGACGTTTTAATTAAAGCTTCACATATTTGTTTTGTATTTTCTTTAATCAACTGTTCAAATGAGTAGAATAATTAGTTATATTTCGTTCGCTCGAACTCGGATAGCTCGAATACCCCCCTTCGCTCGAACTATATTACGATTAATCTTTGTTGTTAAATTTTATCCAAATACATACAAATAATGATGCTCTATATGAAAACGATTTTTGTCTTTTAAGTGTGCAAGTACGCGAATTAAAGAAATTGAATAAAACAATTGAAATATGCTTTAATTAAATGTTGTATTCGATTGTGAAGTGATATAATTATATTACAAAACTCTTATTATCATGTATTTCTTATAATACTTTGTTGACCGTCAATTATAATATTTCAACAATCATTTTATTAAACAGTTCAAATCACATGTATAAGATTTTATATCTTTTTTTCCTCTTTATTACCACTTTAAGATAATGATTGTTTTAATACACGCCCAAAGTCGAATTAATCAAGTCCCTTAATTTCACCAGCAATTTTGTATTTGTTTCATTCTATAAATCAAATTATGGAACAGTCTTTGGATAGTTTACCTCACCACGCTAGTAGCACTAGCAGCTGTTTTTGTAGAGACTTATATAGAAAATTCTTGATCAGAATGCTTTAAATCTATCGCCAAAAGTATGCAAATGACGGAAAGAAAGTACGATGAGCTATTATTGTACCTTAGATCTCAATTACAACCGAGAAAAATGCAAGATATTAAGCTATAGATTCAGTAATACATGTATTAATTAAAAGTTCATATTACAACCTTAAATCAAGGTGTTCTAAGAAAACTCTTGTGACCACGTCTTTAGAGTACACATTTTAAGGTTTGTTTTCAAAGTATTTGCAGCTGCACGCAATCCTAGGTGTTGAACCTATTATGTGAATAATTACGTTCTCATACGAAGTGTCCTTTTGCTGTATAATTCCGAATTTCAATATACGTCAATGTGCCAGCAATTCAAATCAATGTCCCTTGAACTAATTGTTTGTGGGGGATAGCTTGGGTAAAAATAGAATGCCTGAAGCACTGTGTCTGTTGCTAAATTATCAAAGCTCCGGGCACAAAATAATTCAATTATGTTTCATGTGTTCATTTACACAAGTTTGTATAAACTGACCCCCCCCCCTCCCAATTTTAACTTCCAAGGACAGAATTTCTAAGTTTTTTAGAGAATCACATTTGAGCTGCGTCATAACAAAACCAACATAATGGGTTTGCGACCAGCATGGATCCAGACCAGCCTGTGCATCTGTGCAGTCTGATCAGGATCCATGCTGTTCGCTATCAGTTTCTTTACTTGTTATAGGGTCTGTAAGGGAACAGCATGGATCCTGATCAGACTGCGCAGGGATACGCAGGCTGGTCTGGATCCATGCTGGTCGCAAACACATTATGTTGATTTTGTCGTGACACGGCACATTTTAACTTTCACAAGACTTAAATGATACCTTATGTGCTCCTCAGGGTACTACAGTAATATATCTTTATTTTTAACAATTAGACCACAAACAAATACATGTATCTTGTTTTGAAGAAAGCATTTGTAATCTTTGTGATGTTTGCTCAATGGGTATTGAAATCATAGAATATTAAGTTCGTAGCTGACAACAGGTACAACTATTTTGGAGTGAAATGGCTTGAGGAAATAGGAAGAACTGTAATGTCTGACTATTTTACATTATTCTTTTATTTTCAAGATAAGATAACCTCAAATATTTTCATTTTTCCTATGTATTACATATATACAAACTGAACTGAAACATAAACATTTTAAAAATGAAGAAATTGTTAAACACAAAAAAATTAACAAGAGGGCCATGATGGCCCTAGATTGCTTAACGGAGATCAATTACTACAACAGGTTGTTGTTCTTTGATTCAAAATGACATGAGTTATATATGGGGGGTGGCTTCTTCTTTCAAAATGATAAAGATTTAAAATATCTTTATATGAAGCAATAATACATGCATGCTAAACACTGAAGCACAGGGGCATTTTGTATTTTCACACACAATGTTCGTGTGTTTTCCTATAAAAGTAAACTTAAAGTAAGTGGCCACTAGAGCGGAGCCAATTTTGACTCGATGGCATTAGCTGAAAAATATTTTATGCTCCATGTAAAACATCTACGCTCTCTGCATTGTAGTTTCTACGTAGAAGATTTTTTAACGTTTGATGAATACAAGTACACACCATGGCAGGGCAATTTTGATCTTATATAACTTTTGTAAAGGTGCAATCAGCTATTTTGGCAACCGTGTGCATAACATGACCAAAGAGAGACAAAACTATACATGTATACTTCTTGCTTTCTATATGACGTAACTCCTTTACTTTAATAAGTGTCAGTATCCTCAATTTACTTTTTGATGTTTATCCAATTTTGAAGATTCAAAATACTTCTTGAATCTACATAAAACGGATGTCGTTTAACTGATCAGAGCGATAAAGTATCCTTGGAATATCCTTCAGCGTCAAGCTTTTATGCTCACTTATTTCTCATTTCTTCCAATTCCAAACTTTTGTATTACAAAAGGGCCATCTCCATACACTTGAAGTCCTGTTTATTATGGAAGTTATTTCACTGCATAAACTTATCAATCTGTGTACTCCATCCATATCATGTATTGTGTTTGAATATATTTGTAAAACGCAAATTATTTTTTATGCTTTATAAATATAAACTGGCTGCAAACACAATGTCTCTTTTCATGCTCCTTATACCTGAAAAGTACAAAACAATATTTGATATTACTCATGTATATAATTAAGAAATTTCATTATTTCAATTTACTTTGATTTTTTTTTATCTAAAGATTTAATGCTTTGTTGCTCATATGTTGTTGCTCACATATGGAAAGGTATCAAACGTTTACATCTTAAGTTTAAAATTGATTGTGTTGGAAGCTTATGTGACATTCTCGAATCAATTCCTGGTGTCAACCAGTACTAGGCATTGATTGTAAAGTATCTTGCAACTGCTTGGCCCTGATTGTAGAGAACAAAGCAATGCATCTGAGAAACAAGTCAATAAGTACTAATTTAAGAAAATAGACATCTTTTTTCCCTTGTCCTATGAAAAGCAGGGCCTATGCCGGCCAACATTTTAATGGGGGACCCAGGTAAGCTTAAAATGAAATGTAATCAAATACAAACCTTCATTGAACTTGTTTTCTAACTCTGTATTTCCAATAGCCTTAGCTGACTGAACCATTTGTCTTAATGTTTCTTCCAATCTTCTCATACATCTAATTATACTGCCTGAAAGAGTCATACAATTCTAAATTGACACGAGTTTAACAATACCATATCATATTGTAACTTTAGTGCAATATGTACTGCTAAACTTGTATTAAATTTAGAAGGACTTAACTTGTTACTGCACAAAGGTGACGATAAAAGAAATGCCTTGAGAGCCCTGTTATCACTCACCTTAATGAAGAGATGAAGATAAACATGTGTGCTCCCCCTCGGCCCCCATAGACTGCAACATGGGTTTTAAGCTAGCCTTTTATATAGGGACCTTATTATTTTGACACAACACATGGTTTATTTATGCTAGTCATGTGAAACAATTTATTTTGAAATCTCATCATCCATGCAGATGTCATGAAAATACATCTAAAGCAAATTTCTAAATTATAAATCTTGAAATATAGCTTGAAATAATAAGCCTGTCTCTCCATTTCATCCCATTTGCTTAGAAAAGGGAACAAAAGGGCCATGATGGCCCTGAGGTCGCTCACCTCTATAAAGGCACCCGGAGTGGGGCCAGTTTAAACCCCAGGGCTTTTATTTAAACAAACTTGGAAGACACCCATTAGAAGATGTTTCACGATGTTAAGTTTTTACTACACACATATAATAAAAAACAACGATCTAACCCCTCTCCTTCTGCTCCCCCCCTCTTCCACCCCCACCCCCTGGCAGGGCCAATTTAAACCCAAGGGCTTTTATTTGAACAAACTTGGTAGACACCCATAAGAAGATGTTTCATGCTAAACATCTAAGCTCTAGCTCATTGGGTTTTTTTAAAAGAAGATTTTTTAAGGTTTTACTATACACATATACATAAAACCAATGACACCCCTGGGGCGGGTCAATTTTGACCCCAGGGCTTTTATTTGAACAAACTTTGTAGACAATTACTAGAAGATGTTTCATGCTAATTAATAATATCTAAACTCCAGCTATTTGGGTTTTTTCAAAGAAGATATTTAAGTTTTTGCTATACAAATATAAGGAAAACCAATAACACCCGGGGCAGGGCCAATTTTGACTCCAGGGCTTTTATTTGAACAACTTTGTAGACACTCACTAGAAGATGTTTCATGCTTAATATCTAAACTCCAGCTATTTGGGTTTTTTCAAAGAAGATTTTTTAAGTTTTTGCTAAATACATATAAGGAAAATCAATGACCCCCGGGGCCAGGCCAATTTTGACCCCAGGGCTTTTATTTGAACAAACTTGGTAGACACCAATTATGTTTCATGCTAAATATCTTAGCTCTAGCTCTTTGGGTTCTTTAAAAGAAGATTATTTAAATTTTCACTATATGCATATAGGGAAAATCAAAGACCCCCTGGGGCGTGGCCAATTTTGACCCAAGGTCTTTTATTGGAACAAACTTGGTAGACACTCACTAGAAGATGTTTCATGCTTAATATCTTAACTCTAGCTATTTGGGTTTTTTCAAAGAAGAATTTTTAAGTTTTTGCTATACACATATAAGGAAAATCAATGACCCCCTGGGGCGGGGCCAATTTTGACCCCAGGGCTTTTATTTGAACAAACTTGGTAGACACTCATTAGAAGATGTTTCATGCTAAATATCTTAGCTCTAGCTCCTTGGGTTCTTTAAAAGAAGATATTTTAAGTTTTTACTATATGCATATAGGGAAAATCAAAGACCTCCTGGGGCGGGGCCAATTTTGACCCCAGGGCTTTTATTTGAACAAACTTGGTAGACACTCATTAGAGGATGTTTCATGCCAAATATCTAAGCTCTAGCTCTTAGGATTTTTTAAAAGAAGATATTTAAAGTTTTTTCTTTCGGTTGCCATGGCAACCAGAGTTCTGCATGGAATTAAATTCTTTGAACAATTTTTAAAGGTGACCACCAAAGGAACATTCCTGTGAAGTTTGGATGAAATTGACTTAGTGGTTTATGAGGAGATGTCATTTAAAGTAAAAGTTTACGGATGGACGGACGGCGGACGCAAAAAACGCGATCACAAAAGCTCACCCTGTCACTTTGTGACAGGTGAGCTAAAAACAAAGTCCCCATCATTTGGATAAACATTCACAACATTTCCAGAGTGTCAAAATCATCCACATTCAAACTACAAAAGCTGTACTGTCAGTGTAAGGCACAGCATTTTTAACTTACAAACTATTCAGTGAAAATATTCAGGGCAAGCATGAACCCTGTAGCTGCTATAAAGAAGATTGCAAAAAATAGTGTATGCTTAAAAGTTAATTCATACATCTTACCTTCAAATATGTCTGTCATTTTACAAATCTCAAAGAAGCTTGCACCACTACACCATGCATGAACCACATCCATCATGTTTGGTTTGAATGAAGTCACATATTCTTCCTCATCTATTTCAAGTTTTGCCTCCTTACTTACTCTAGCTATCCTTCGTGCTGTGTCCTGTACATAAAATAGCATTATCATTAAAGTACGAACATTTCTTATTATTTTGAAATGAGTAACAAGCAGACTTGGTCCAAAGTCCAGGACAAGAACTTTTGTTTTATGTCAAGTTGGAACTCTTAATAATTTGTTCACAGGGACTATATGTATTCCCATCGGGAAAAGAAATGCATAATTTCACATTTCTGCCAAAAAGTTTTAATTTCCTTTCATCAGTTCAAAAGACACACAGAGAGGACATAAAATTTTGAAATTCATACATAGTGTTAACATGTCTGTCAAGTAGATATAGGTTTAACACACAGAATTGACTAAACATTGCTAATGGACAAAAGACAAGGGACATCACATGATAGATACAAGCCTATTTTATTTTCAGCCATATAAAAAGAGCCTGAACAATGTATTCCCAAAACCCTGTGTTCAGTTCTAAAAACCAACATTTATAACAGATGCTGCCTTTTCTTCCCATTAGTGTGACATTTTCTACACGTACTTTATGTGTATATTCTCCCTTCAATAAGATTAATTGTTTTGTTAACAACATTGAATTAAAGTTCAACAAAACCACCTCAATCTTACTTCTTATTTGAAAGACTAATAAATGTAGTATCAACACCAACCAACCTGTAATAATCTGAGTGGTCCAGCCAGAGATTCTGTAAGTTTAGGTACATCATTGGAGCCTTCTTGGAACACAAAACAGCTCAGTAAAGCACAGGCCTGCTGTGCTGTCATATCATTAAACACACCATTAAACAATAGCTCTGTAATCATCAGCTCATCTCCACTGTAATAAAAGTGATGGTGTCACAATAAAGTTAAAAATAACTTTAATATATAAGGCCAATTAGCACGATGAAAACACAACAGCGGCTGTGGTGTAGTGGTTAGTATACTGGAACGGCAATCCAGAGACCAGTTGTTTGAGCCCTGGCTGTGGCATGTTGTTTTTTTTTGTGTGTGAGATTTTTCACTCTCCCTGTGTGTGTTCACATGTATTCTAATTATGTCAATACTGACTTCAAGTTTCATCTTGATATACCCAAAATTGACAACGGTCTGCTCCATAAAAAGAAGCTGGACAAGTTCATTTAAGAAACTCAGCAAGGAAAGAATTAAGCCATCATTGTTGCTAACATTCAGACGATTTATAGACACACATTCAGATGATACAAATATACTACTTGATTCGTTTTTACTTTTTAAGTCAAGCAAAAAAAACAAGAAACTTGTTCTTTTGCTACACAAAAATTTAATTATACAAAATTTATTTTAGTTTGATTGTATAAGCTTATAGACACACTTTCCAGCCTGTTCCTGGAACCAACCAGTACTGAGTAATGAGTGTAAAGTTTCTTGCTCAAGGAAACAACTTGCCCCTGATAGAGTTTGAACAATGTGTTTGGAGGTTAAGATCGATATATGTGAGGGATAAATAATCAAGAATGCATAATTTCTTGAATTTCCTTGTTTATTGTATTTATTAAACCACGCTTTTTCCTAAACCGGAAAACATCAACAGGTCTAACACCACTTAAAAAATAATACTTCTTTTAACAAAGGCTTATTCGATTAGAAACTATAGTTCACTCTTTAGAACAGTGTTAACCACTTGCAATGCTGCCACAAGTAATTATCTTGTTTACATGGTATAGAAAATTTCAAACAACTTCAAACCAGTGCATCATCCATACAATATCAGTTTGAAATTTGTCAAATAATGTTTTATGAAAACTGACCTGCTTATTTCACAAGCTACCCTGCCCTTCAATTCTATCACATCAGAAGCTGTACAGTATCCAAGGCGTCTAAGAACTCTTTTCCTGCACTTTAACTCATCCATTTGTAACAAGGATTTCTTCTTTTTCAACTCTACTTTTATAGCTTTAATCTCATTGGCTACCTGAAAAGTTCAAGAGGTCATGCTTAATTAGTACCTCATAATATGAAAGACTAGAGCGACCACTGATTGCTTGGTATTTCAAAAGGCAAACACATCGGAGAAAGAACATTGTGGTGAATGGTTTTCACAGACAAGATGGATTTCTTGTACAAAATTTAATAATATTTCATATTTTATACAATCTTATGGAAAGATACATATGTATCAATGGCAAATTCTGGATGATTGAAAGTCAAATTTTTTTTTTTTTTCACTTGCTATTTATTTAGAAATGGTTTTTAACAATAAATATCTTATCACCAACAGTGTCAGAGGACATTAATATATGACCTACCTTGACTTTCTGTTCATATTGGTTATACCATTCTTCCAGTTTGGGATCTTTATTCAAAGGATGAGAGAATAATCTGTGTTCAAATGCTTCAATTTTCTGAAAGAAAAAACATTCATTGCTGTAATTAACCATTTAATTGTTAAATATCTTAAATGTACTTGTACATCCTTCAATCTGGACAAAACTATTTATCATTTTAGGGAAACTTTAAGAACAGTGCAGACCATGATCAATGGGTACAGACATGACGGTTGATCTTGGTCTCTGCACTGGTCACATGGGTTGTTTCAGTTTCCATCAGTGCCCTAAATGCTTGAATAATGACATGGAAAATGAATTGTGGCATGGCATAGTGGTCAATGTGTAGAACTTGTAATCAAAGGATGACTAGTTGCTGAAGTTAAAACCCCATCAAGGACAATCTGTTGTTTTCTTTAGCTAGAAATTTAGACTCATTGCTCAGTACTGGTTGGTTCCAGGAAAGGATTCAAGAGTGTGTCCATAAATATATAGCTTCCTAGACAATCAAACTAAAATAAATTCTGTGTAAACTAAGTAAGGAAAACTGTCAACAGATTTGAATAGTCAACGAATCTGGTATATTGAAAGAACAACTACTGATCTTTACAGACACATTTAGGTCAAATAAGATGGTGTTAATTATTTTACTTTGGTATCTAAAAACATAATTAACATATTACAATCACAAATATTTTAATAACACAGTGTCAGTAGGATACTGATCCCCATCAAGTTTACTTAAACCTACCATCTGATTTAGGAGGATCATTGACAGCAAGTAAACAAAAGGGGCAACTGTGGCAGAGTGGTTAGTTAAAGTTGTTGACTTGAAACCACTTACTCCTCACAAAGGCCCCACCATTTACACTTTTTTGCTTGGGTAGGTTAAAAATACAGTCTCTAAAATGTTTATATATCCTTTTATTTGATCAGGTGATTCAAAGTTTCTTCCAAAATAACCCAACATATCGTTTTAAAGTAATTTTTTGGTAAAGTTCAGTTAAGGATCTGTAAAAGTCATGACCTCCAGCGTGTTAGCAACCAGTTGTGGATCACAAACATCTTATCAATCCAAAAACCTCACCAATTCACACTTTTTGTTTAGGTGAGCAAACAATATGGAAATCTTACTATTACCTTTACAACATCTTTCATAGATTTTTCTTTGATGCCCATATCTTCTACTGGGTCTAACAAGGGCAGACCATCAGGGAATCTTTTCTGTACCTCCTGCGGAAAATAAATAAAAGCTGTCAGAGTATCAGTATGCTTGACTGATTTAATAATGGACAGTTTAAAAAGAAAACAAGGGCTATAAGAGGACAAAGCACACTGTCACAGAAGTGCAGGCTTATCTTAGTCTGTTCTAGTCGCTTGCGTACAATCTGTTGCTACAAGCAGGCTAACAGTTGATGTGTAAGAAATTTAAGAAAAATTTCAATTATAAAACAAATACAAACAAACAGTGCCAAAATCATAAAACAAAATCATTGCAATAGTTTTTATGGACAAACATCACTTTTTTTCACTTTCTGATATATTGTCTTCTAAACCCGTCTTATTTTTAACCTTTTACTGGATAATACTGGATATTTACATCAATTTCCGATGACATATTTCATTTCCATACCTGTATAGATTTTCCGACACTCTGCCTGTTATCAAATGGCCGCAGATCTTTTGGTAGATATAGTCTAACAGCACTGATTTCTTGTATCAAATGTAACAGCACTGGAATAACCTGAAAGGGAATTAAAGCAGGTAAAAAAGTTATTTGTATGTAGACAGGACTGCATGAGTGAAATGCAACAACATTACAATGCATAGGAATAAAAGTAGTTTACCATTTTGCTTTGCATAAGTATACATCGTCTAACAATGATCTATGTCAAATACAACTCTAGGTAATATTTCAGCATGTCAAACAAAACACAATTATTATATGTTTGTAATAATAAAATATAGAACTTTTCTTTTTGTTAGATTTTATATCGCACCAACACAGTATAGTAGGTCACATGGCTACTTTTCAGCTTTACTGGTGGAGGAAGACATAAGGTGTCTTTCCCACTTCACATTGTTTCATTCCAAATGTTTTAGTTCTAGCCTTTACTGTATCAGAGAAGTTTTCTAAGTTTTTATTGTATAAATTTAGAAAATCCCATGAGCCCCCGAGAGCTTGGGCTAACATATGAATCTGGTTGGGAGTCAAAACAGTCAGACACTAGACAAACAACACCATTTCAATATCCCTATTCCCATGTTATCAGAAAAGCATGATAATTCAATGAATATTATTATCTTGTGCCAACTACATTTAACTTAAATCTTTTGAAAATCTACATAAACCTACCTGCATTTCTCCAAGAACACCAGGAGGACTTGGTTTAACCATTGCGGAGTTACGAGACTTTGCAGACTCTTTAGTCATGTTTACTAATACTTCTGCAACATAAACTGGCCCCTCTTCAGATGACTGTAAACATTCAAACAGTATGTCTGATTAGTAATTTCATGATCAAAATTTGCTGAAATTATATCCCCTAGCTTTGTATTAAACCGCCCAACATATTTATTTACCATTAAAAATGGCCTAATTAAAAACAACTCCCTGTCATATGTGAGAGATGGCCAAAATCATCAGATCTCCTTGCAATGCTTTGTCTGTTTTAACGACTTTTACACCTGTTATTTGCTAATCCAAGTTATTAGGGGAGGGGCATTTATTAGAAAACTTACAGTAACTATAAAATCCAAAAGCCAAGTCACTTGCTGAGGTCTAATCCTTGTCATGACATTTTGTACTAGATAATAAATTAAACAACTTCTGAAAAGAATTAGTAGAAAGAAATGTATTCCGGTTGACAGGCACACTTTTGAAATTGAAAAAAGTTATACAAACACACTTACCTTACTTTGATTAGCCTTCTTTTGAAAGTTTACTATCATGCCCCAACTGAAATCATCCGTGCCATTTTTGACATGCACAAGTCTACCAGGCTGCAGGAATGGTAAGATGTACTGGGGTTTCTGTATGTAGGTCAATAACTCTTTACTGAGATGATCTAGCTGTTGTCTTAACTTATAATATGATGACACTTGATCTTCATTAGCCACTTCACATTTATTGTACTGCTCTTCTGTTTTCTTTAATTCTGGATTATAAAAATACAATTATTTCAGTAACATTGATTGATGCTAAACACAGCTGATTACATTGTTGCAAAACAATCATAACAAGAGCTTATCACTGACAAAGCAGCAGAACCCTACTAGTATAAAGTTGCCTGTTGGCCTGTTTTTGTTTTGTTTTTGTTTTTTCTATTTATTTGGTTAATAAGCCAATTTTTACACATTTCTGTGTCATATCTTGATGATGGGTCCACAAAACTGGCTTTACTCAGTAACTAACCAAAAATCATCTATTTTTACACAAAAGACCAGCTATTAATCATACATGATTTCTTAATCAGTTGTAAGAGACAAATGAACATTAAACATCAAATGTCATGGACAAAGTTTGCCTCACCAAAGGATCATACAATCCACCCCTTAGCAAGCAAACATATTCACAGATTCCCTACCTACATTCTATATAAATGTGGAAATTGACTTAAAGGATCAGATTTTTTAATTTGACACATAACTAGGAATTACTCATGCCTGTATAATTTCAAGGAAACTGACATAATCCTGAAAGAAAGAGACATAAATATTTGTACTTTATTTATTCATTTTTTCTATATTTAGTTATCACAATCTTCCGGCCATTACGTAACTTACTTTCAATGAGATCAGGTATAGCAGCATAATTCTGGAACTGATAGAATGACCTTTCCAACATATACTCCGGGTTGATTTCTTCAACACGCAGCAAGTTTAGCACCATGTTGTATGTTAAATGAAACGCACTATTGAGAGGATCTGCTGCACCCTGAAATATGTATAAGAAGTAATCATTAAGAATATTAGAAGATATCTTCTTATTTATCAAAATAATCACACAAACAAGGCTATATAGAAAAAAAAATTGTACCGAGAAAACAAAAATAATTTTTTAACACACAAGCATGGCAATACATACACATAAAAGCAAATTTTTGTGTGAAAACAAAAATTTATTTTTAATTAAGGGAAGAAGTTCATTTATGAAATTTGTCTGCAACATGTTTTATTACTAATGATATTATCTGCTAGTGAAAACGAATGCACATAAATATCTTCTAATCACATTATTATATACTTTGAAAATTTCCTTAAAAATGATAAAAGGTTTTGTCAATATTGAAAGAATGAAATTTTTGAAGAAGTTAATCCAAGCCCTACTGCTTTATTTTTTTGTTTCAGTATATTTCTAAATAATATAAACTGACAACACTCATGCAGTTGGTACTCAGAATCATCACTCCACACCAGGAACATACAGTCTAGAGTGTTAACAAGGATTTACTTTAGCCTAGAGACCTAGTTTTTGATCCACCTGAGTTAACATTAATATGAACATCCTGTTATTGACAAAGTTTGAAGAAGATCAAATCAAAATGATGACCTTTAGAGTGTTTTATGGTGTTTTTCTTTGATTCAGTCTTCAGAAAATGATCCTATGAAATTAAACATGAACAAAATCATTCAGCCACAAAATGGTCATAACAAAACACTGAATATCTAAGATCAGTACCTTTAAAACAAGTTTACCAGCTGCAGGGGGCATCTTCTCATCTATCATTAATATAACAATACCACGATCATCTAAGCCACGCCTACCAGCACGCCCACTCATCTGTATATACTCCCCTGATGTCACCTGAAACATGAGTTTTACTTAACCTATATTAATGACTATTTGTAATTTAAATGATTGTATCAAATATTGTTGATTACTCAAAATTTTAAAAATTTAGCAAAAGACGCTTTGTAAGTTTTTGCCATTGACTTTCTCCAGGTTAATAGCATATCCATCCATCATTCATTAAGTCAGATAATCTTGTAATACACATGCCTGGTCCTAGTGTGCATGACTGGTCCTTATGTACATGACAGAAAAAAGCACATCATCTTACACAAAAATCTAAGATCTGGGCACCTTATTTTCACTCAAGTTTCTAAATGAGTCAATGTAAATAAGTGACCACAGGGTAAGGCCAACTTTCATCTAAGGACAACATTCATATAGCTTTTGTTTAGGACCACAAGATTTAGGTTATTTTTGTACTTCCCAAAGAGCATTATCATTGAGTTTCACCAGACAAGAATGATTTTTTGTTTCATGAAATATCATTCAAATCTTATTTCCATTTTCAACTCTGAAAGTTATCATGCTCAACAGACTGCTACAAATAACAAAATTAATGTATTTCTGTAGAGGACCATTCTTATTAAATTTTATCAAAATCTATCCAGTCATTATCTGTACAAACAGACTAAAGGTCTAATTTTTGAAGATCCTAGAAACACCATTATTTTTTCAAATGCATGAAGACTGCAACAAAGGTATACATACCCATCTAAAATCCTTTCCATCAAATTTCCGCGCACTTGTGAATAGAACAGTTCTAGCAGGCATGTTTAAACCCATCGCAAATGTTTCTGTGGCAAATAAGGCCTGAAATCAACCATTATAGCATTATTATTATCATTATTACTATCACTATTATTACCATCATTATTACTGTTACAATCATTATTATTATTACTATCAGAAAACAAAAAGTCAAAGAAATGACTTTCCAGGGTGCTTACAGACATCTAATGGTAAAATTCAAGCACTTTTTCAGCTCTTTAAGAATGTTTCCCATTTTTCAAGCATATTCTGTTGCACATATTTCATTTGTAAGCAATGATAAAGTAACTTAACTTTACAACAGAAAATACTGGAACTTTATATACCTTGATTAAACCCTCTGAGAAGAGAATTTCTATGGTTTCTTTGAGTAATGGTAGAAGCCCACCATGATGTATACCAATGCCTTTCTTTAGTAAAGGTAGAACATGCTCAACCTGAAATACAAAATAACATTCTTTCTTTAAACTTAATCATTAGTCAATCATGGGCTTTAATTTGTATAAATTTTGCACAGGACAACGAAGAAATACTATAATGTAAGTACCATAGCTGTGGTTGGACTAGAAGATTTTTTAAAGATTTGCTTTTTTGTTACCAAAGCAACCAGTGATCTTCATGGAATCATTTGAAAACCTTAGCAGTGTTTTATAAAAGGACCATCCCTTCAAAGTCTAATTAAAATTGGTCAGGTGGTAGAAGAGAAAATATTGTTAGAATACTAGAAATATGTCCACAGGACACTTATGCCCACACTTCATTTACCTTTCACGGTGGCATATTTACATATTTATGGTATGCATATTTCATAAAAGTCAAGCAATATTAATAAGAAATATACGTAACTAATAAGTTACTTGCAATGCTACTACCAAGATGATGAAACTTAAGCTTAAAACAGACAGACAGATGTTTAAGTTCCTATTTAAAACAGATGTTTAAGTTCCTATTTAAAATGTATCAAATTTTTAAAAACCAAGGGACGGTTAAATGATACGTTCATACTTCATGTCTATGCTTTAACATGTGACCTTGACTTACCTGAGGTAGTTTCTTGTCTTCATCAGAGAGAGCATCAATAGCATTGTTAAACACTTCCTGTACAAGTTCCTTTTCCTCATCTATAAATAGAGGATATTGACTGAGTGTAGGTTCAATACTAAATTTATTGAACAAGTTGAATACAATTATATTACGCGAGCCTCTGGCAAGCAAAATATTGTTTTATTCAACTTGTTAAATAAATTCAGTAATGAACTAATACAAATTTAATATTCTATTTATCACATTCTCAAAATAAAGAATGTTTAAAGTCAAAAAGAACAATTTTTCATTGATGTTCCTATAGTATAATGCTTACATTTAGCATGTCTTTACACTATGTTTGTCATAAATATATGAATAGCCGTGCAATACCATTTTTTGGCACAGGTATGTGATACATTAATCATAAATAATCGTTATTGGTTTAGATTTTGACCGGGAACAATAATCTTGAAGAATTATTTCCAGTCCCAAAATGGAAACAAGAGGGCCATGATGGCCCTGAGGTCGCTCACCTGTATATAGGCCCCCCAACACCCCCCCCCCCCATCCAAACGTTGCAGGGCCATTTTAACCCAAGGGCTTTTATTTGCACAAACTTGGTAGACACCCATAAGAAGATGTTTCATGCTAAACATCTAAGCTCTTACTCATTGGGCTTTTTAAAAGAAGATTTTTTTAAAGTTTTTACTATACACATATAGTTAAAAACAATGACACCCCTGGGGCCGGGCCAGTTTTGACCCCAGGGCTTTTATTTGAACAAACTTTGTAGACACTTACTAGAAGATGTTTCATGCTTAATATCTAAACTCTAGCTATTTGGGTTTTTCCAAAGAAGATTTTAAGTTTTTGCTATACACATATAAAGAAAATCAATGACCCCCGGGGCGGGGCCAATTTTGACCCCTGGTCTTTTATTTGAACAAGCTTTGTAGTCACTCACTAAAAGATGTTTCATGCTTAATATTTTAACTCTAGCTATTTGGGTTTTTTCAAAGAAGATTTTTTAAGTTTTTGCTATACACATATAAGGAAAATCAATGACCCCCGGGGCGGTGCCAATTTTGACCCCAGAGCTTTTATTTGAACAAACTTGGTAGACACCTATTAGAACATGTTTGATCCTAAATATCTTAGCCATAGCTCTTTGAGTTCTTTAAAAGAAGATTTTTTAAGTTTTTACTATATGTATATAGGGAAAATCAATGACCCCCCCGGGCCAATTTTGACCCCAGGGCTTTTATTTGAACAAACTTGGTAGACACTTATTAGAACATGTTTCATGCTAAATATCTTAGCTCTAACTAATTTGGTTCTTTAAAAGAAGATTTTTTAAGTTTTTACTATATGCACATAGGGAAAATCAATTACCCCTGGCGCGGGGCTAATTTTGACCCCAGGGCTTTTATTGGAACAAACTTGGTAGACACCTATTAGAACATGTTTGATGCTCAATATCTTAGCCATAGCTCTTTGAGTTCTTTAAAAGAAGATTTTTTAAGTTTTTACTATATGCATATAGGGAAAATCAATGACCCCCTGGGGCGGGTCCAATTTTGGCCCCAGGGCTTTTATTTGAACAAACTTCGTAGACACCCATTTGAACATGTTTCATGCTAAATATCTTAGCTCTAGCTCTTTGGGTTCTTTTAAAGAAGATTTTTTAATTTTTTACTATATGCCTATAGGGAAAAATCAATGACCCCCTGGGGCGGGGCCAATTTTGACCCCAGGGCTTTTATTTGAACAAACTTCGTAGACACTCACTAGAAGATGTTTCATGCCAAATATCTAAGCTCTAGCTCTTATGGTTTTTTAAAAGAAGTTATTTAAAGTTTTTTCTTTCGGTTGCCATGGCAACCAGAGTTCTGCATGGAATTAAATTCTTTGAACAATTTTTAAAGGTGACCACCAAAGGAACATTCCTGTGAAGTTTGGATGAAATTGGCTTAGTGGTTTATGAGGAGATGTCATTTACAGGGCGTCAAGTGAATATTTGTCCAAAAAATATAGGACTTTCCGCTGAAATATAGGACCATTTTCCCAGAAATATAGGAATATATAGGATAAGAAAAACAAAGAGCTTTTGAACTTAAAAACCTCCTCCACCCACTACACTCTCCTTTTATTTACAAGTTACAAAAGGTGTAACAATTTCAATACTTCAATAAAATTATGACAATTAATAAAATGACATACTTGGAAAACTAGCATAAATAAGTAAATTAAGCAAGTAGGCACTGTTCTATATCTGTGTCCATTCATATGCCAAACTACTTATTTTAATCATAGTAACTGTTAATTTATAATCTTTTAACCAGGAATACTAACTACATTGGCCCACTGTAACATACATTTGACAACCTGTTTGATTAAGATGTTTGTGTTGCAACAAAAAAAGGTCAAATGCTGCTAAATTAATCACGCTTCTGCTTCTTGGAATGAGATGAATGTGGCACACTTTATTCCCCTAATGACTTTGACATGTTATACATCTTCATTATATAAAGCATAAGTTAGTTTTGGTAAACCAACAGCAGTACCGGAGCTTCCTGACCTGAACTTTCACTCTCTGCTGTGTTTGAAGATGCACTAGGCTTTAATTTCTTGTGTTGTGACCATTTCGCATGGTGAAGTATTTGATTAATTACACAGTATACTATTGTCACATTTGATTTCTGTCTTACAAAGAGTACACCTAACAATATGATCTGAACTACCTTTAACACACCATGACCAACTTTTTTCAATGTTAATTAATTAAATAATTAATTATCAATAGGCATGTTTACCATTGTTAATAATATACTTTGCTCATCCTTGAGTAAAATATTTTAATCACAGAAAATTATTGAAATCCATGATATTTTAACATGAATAAAAAAATGAATGAACCATGTACAGGAGGCTGTTATCTATTTAACAGGTCAAGTTGACCTTATCTTTCAAAAAAAACTATATTGTGAAGAATTTTAAACATCGCATATATAGATCTACTTTATGTGAAGTCAAAACATGTTTATTTTATATTTATAAAGAGACTGTGAATCAATTAAAAATATTTTCTAATATCAAATTTGAGCATAGAATATCTCAACTTGAAACAGAATACTTGTTAAAATAAAGGACAGCTTCACCTGCAAGAATGTTTGACTACCCTTTAACAAATCCAAAAGGTAAAACTGGACTAGCTGGGCTGGGCAGGGTTGCTACACTTGAAAGAAACATGGATTTTGAAGTAAATGTTGCACATATATACAAACAGATGACACAAACTTCTTGTAATATACAGTACTGGTTTTGCTCCATAATCCAATATTTCTTGCTTACCCTTAAATATAGGAATTTATAGGAATTTCACAGAAATATAGGAATTTTCATGAAAATATAGGAATTTATAGGAATTACTCCAAAATATAGGAATATATAGGAATTTATAGGAAACTTGACGCCCTGCATTTAAAGTAAAAGTTTACGGACGGACGGACGCTGGACGGACGGACGCCGGACGAAAAGCAATCACAAAAGCTCACCCTGTCACTTTGTGACAGGTGAGCTGAAAAACCTCACTGGAGTCCCTTTAAAAGAGACAGAATAAAATAGAATAGCATCAAAGATAGTTTACTGTTATTTGTTAGTTATTCTACTTATAGCAAGGCAAGTTTAAATGATGGACAAGCAACTTATTATAATATAACCATTCTATTTTATTTCAATCCAATCAAATACCTGTGTTGAAATCTAATTTTGTCATCTGCAGTGCGTAGGCCTCACAATCTTTCTTACTAAAACTAAACACTATCACAGGAGCAAATTGTCTCTCTAATATCATCTTAACAATCTTGTAACAATTTGTTTCTTGGTCTGAAATAAATAGATAACATTTATAATATATAGCAATTTACAATCAAATATAGAGAGTACTCTCTAAATAGCAATTTAAATATATAATACAGAAGTGTAGTGATTTACTATCAAATACATGAGTACTTCCTTAATCATACAGCAATTCAAAGAAGTCTTTATAAATCTAGTGATCAATACACATGGTCAATTTTGACCCCAGGGGCATGATTTATATAACTTGTAGCAAACCAAAAGGTGATGCTATAGCTCATAAAACTGTACTATTTAAGAAGAACATTTTTAAGATAATTTAACTTTATATGTCTATTTCAACTCAGTGACCCCAGGGCGAAGGCATTCTGGGCCACAAGGGCATGATTTAAGTAACTTATGTACATGTTCACTGCATACTACATGAAAAATTTCTAACCTCTGAACATTGAAGTCTTCTAAAAGTAGATTCCTTAGACAATCTTTGTAAAGCCAGTGATCCTTAAAAGGAAAGGCTTATTTTGACCTCGGGGTTTGACTTACATAACTTTTGTAGAGGACAACAAGGTGATATTACATGCCAAATATCTAAGCTGTTGACAGTGTATTTTCCGAGGAGGATATTTGTTGAGACTTATTTTAGCTCTTGTGACCTACTTATGCATCAGACTGGAAGTATTCAAACAAATTCTATACAGGGTCACCTATAGATCATTCATGTCAAGTTTGCTCAATATCCACCATGTGGTTTAGGAGATATTGTTTAATGAAATTGTTGATAAAAACAATAGACATCCAACGAACGAAAACCTATTTATGACAGACATGTTGCTATCATGACAGCTCACCTCTTAACACTTTGTGCCCAGATAAGCTGAAAAGCAGAAAAAAGTTGTCCCTATTAAAGGGTTAATAAATCAAATTCTTACTTTTAAATCCTCCTTTTCTTCCTTTGATGTCTCCTTTAGCAGCATCTCCTGCTTCCTTCAAGACAGACATGGCAGTGTTGAAATTCTCTTCTTTAAATTCACCCTACAAACAAAATATTACTCTGATGTCATTTCATGTCGCTAGGTGTTTCCCATCTTTCCCCTAAAACTTTGTCATGGGTATAAAAATGTCTAAAAAAAAACAAATTCCTAGTTATCTATATTTTTTACAAATCATTCTTGAGGAAATGAATAGTAGATAAAATCATTCTTGCATATCAGACTGGTGTTTCCAAAAATAGTAAGAACATAGTTTTGGACAAAATGGGAAATTGTTTTTATTGAGGTAAAGAATTTAAATTATGATGGAATATGGTAGAATATGCAAGAAAAAATATTTGACATGTTTGCAGTTCAGATCTGAATATCTGTCCATCCGGAACCTGCCCATTGAGTGTTAACGATGCTTGCCAAGTGCCCATTGGCAGGTTCCCAATATTACGATCTGAACTGTAACATATGACAGATATTATTACTCTTAAATAATAAGCAATTTATAGAACAATAAAATTCACATTTCAAACAGTGAGGAAAGCTAGAACTATTACTGAACGGTGTACCATTTTGTGCTCTTGTGAGCTAAAATAACTTACATTTTCATCTACAACAAGGTGTATACCATCTCCTCCTGCTGGAAATATATAATGTTGTAGTGGAGTTGGTCTGTAGTCTGTGTACACAACATGACATGGCTGAAAACAATTCAAACATCATAGTATCATAATACAGTGAAACATGATTATAAGGAACTTGTTTGGATCATATTACTCAAGTTACTGTTCTCAAGTGTTTGTTAATCAGATTTGTTGGGGTTTAAGTCAAACTGACACTTTAAAGATCATGGTATGGCTGTCATGGATGGACAATTTTTTTATCGATATATCGAGAGACAAATGTTGACAATATATTGATAAATCGAATTTAACAGTACATATAATGAAAAACATTTAAATATGTGTTTTACATTAGGATCATGGTGTTATGCATGCTTGTTTTAAACATTACAAATACTAAAAACTAACAGAAAGTTTGCTTTTTCTGTTATTTTTGTCACTGACATTTGAAAACAGAGTTAAAGTTTAAGTTAGCAAAGAAAACTGGAAAAAAGTGACTTCTCTTATTAGGCAAAATAGACAGGTATATTCACAAAGAGAAATAAATAAATTTTAGCTTGTATCGATATTTGAAAATGTGTATCGATATTTTATCGGATGATGAATATCGATGATATATCAATATCACGATAATCAATGACAGCCCTAGATCATGGTGCGACTTTCCAGCTTTAATGGTTAAGGAAGACCTTACTTGCCCCTATGTATGCCTTATTCTCATCGATATGTGCCTTCCCATCGATTCATGACCTAAATAAATGTCTGGTTTAAATACTTCTGCAAGGACATACACCATCCGAAAAAACTACACAAGTTTTATTAGACACTTGATTTGACAATTCTATCCAATCAAAATGCGTAATTGAACCAGTGTAAATGTGCTTACCCTACAATCAGCTTATGACCTAATTACTTTAAAATATTTAATATTGATGTTATAATTTATCAAACACACTTACAATTAAGCCAAAAAAATATTCATTATGCTGTTAGAATTAACTTAAGACTTTGAAACATATATTGATCAGATCATACTGAAAATAACCATGCAAACATTTAATAGTGAGAGCACCTATATTTTTATGACGTCACAGGGTGAATGGGATTTCACGAGTCGATGGGTAAGCGTCCAGCTGAGCAAGACATTCATGGTTGACATGTTCAGATGCTCTAATCTTTGAGCGGTTGTTTTTAGAAGTATTTTAAAGCTTTTGAACATTTAGATAAAGAATTTATTTAACAAATGCACTAATTGAACTGTATATATGTCTGATATTTGTTGTGCAAGTGCAATTTTTCCAAATAAGAGTCACAAATCGACGAGAGAAAAGCATACATTATTTCAGGAACAAACAGGCACATGAGTTGAATAAATGAAATTATCACTGCCTAAAAACTGCATTACCTAGTACATGTATATACAATATGTACCTGTTTATGAAGATGACATATCCATTCAGCAAACTGTCTAGCATTTGGTATGGTAGCTGATAAGAATACATAATGTACATTGTCTGGTAATAGAATAATTGTTTCTTCCCAAACCACTCCTCTCTCTAAATGAAATAAAGATATCGTTAGAAATGATTGATGCTCTAAAACAAAGTAAGTAGCACATGAAAGAACGGAGCATGTGTAAGTGAGAAAGCTGTTGAGGAAATAAACAGTTAATAGATAGATCCATTCAGAAAGCAAACTTATTTGTTTCGATAGTTTTTATACTTATCTCAGCAGTCAGTTCACAAAACAAGCTTTCCCGAAGGACTAATTTTTTGTCATTCTAACACAGTAAAGGTCATATGGCTACTTTCCAGCTTTACTGGTGGAGGAAGACCTAAGGTGCCCTGCAGTGTATTATTTCAGGCAAGAACAGGCACCTGGGTAGAACCCACTGACATTCTGTAAGGTAGCTGGATAGCTTCCTCACATGAAAGAAGTCCATGTCTGGATTCAAACACACAGGGGCGAAGGACAAGTGCTTTGAAGTCAACTACCTTAATGGCTTGACCACAGATGACCCTCAGTTGCTATAATACAACATATCTGTATAAAGTTTATTATACATCAATGTTAATTGGATGAAGTAAATTTCTTATCATTTTGCCAATTAAGCAATCATATTTACCTTTATCTCTCATATAATGGATTTCATCAAAGATTACCCATCCAACTTCTCTCATTATTTCAGAACCTCTGTACAACATACTCCTTAAAATCTGTAATATATCATTAATGAAGGAGCTTTGTTATTGACAAAAAAATGCAAATATGGCATAAATGCCCACTTTCCTTCAGCAGTTAGTTATACTTAGTAACTATTACATAAATCACAGTTTCTATAGTTTTTATGCAAATTTCAACACATTTTTGGTCATTATGAACTGGTTTTCCAGGATAACTAACCAGTATTAACTGTTTTTCTCCGCAATTGACCAAATACTTATTTCACATAATATCTAAACTAGCAGTTTCAGTATCTTTCTTAAAAAGGAATGTAATGCACAACTTGTCAAATATCTTATAGGCTTAATGACATTGTTCAGATTTGATTTTCATCTCAATTAAAAATAATTTTTTTATCAAACTTAAAACAAATATTCTACAGATTATCATATAGTCAGCCAATTATAGCTTTTAAGTTAAATTGTCACTGTAATGGTCATATGGCAACTTTCCAGCTTTACTGGTAAAGGAAGACTTCAGGTGCCTTTCCATGCATTATTTCAGACATGAGTGGGAACCTAAATAGAATCATTGAAATTCCTTAAGCCAGCTATCCAGCCTCACATTAAGTATCAAAACTCCCAGGCATGATTCAAACCAACAGCAGTGAGGAACAATGGGTTTTTACGTCAACAGCCTTAACCAACCCCATGAGAAAGTGGAGGCAACTAATACTGGTAAACTGCTTGACAGCCTGCCCAGGAATGATGCATTGGCTGACCTATGCTCTGGTAAGTTCAATGTGGCTTACTGCTGTGATCCGGTGTGAAAACTTCCACCACCACCATTCCCATGATAGAAGAATAAATTACAAACCTCTGTGGTCATGACAAGACAACTGGCTGTGGGGTTAATTGTAACGTCTCCAGTCATCAAACCAACATCCTGAAACTCCTCAAACAATTCCCTATACTTCTGATTACTCAGTGCCTTAATTGGTGTTGTGTATATTACACGCTGTTTGTCACGTAACGACATAGCTATAGCATACCTGAAATGATTCAACTATGAAACAATATCAAGGGCAATAACTGCAAACTTATGCAAACAATACTTATGGCTCTTAGACAATGAACTACTCATCAATGAGATTTGTCCATCTGTTTCAAGTTGATATGGCTAATACTTTTTGAGTTATGCCATAGACAAAGAAATAAATATTAACAAGACTGCATTTGTGAAATGCGATGCCACCACAATGTAAAGTTTATCATTTTGCTTGTACATAATATTATGTCTACATCCCCTAAAATATTCATTGTCAAAAAGAACTCAAAGTAAATATTTCAGCAAATGAAACAAAACACTATATATATCTAATGTATGTACATTTGTAACTCATAACTTTGTAGTCAGGAGAGCTAAAACAAAGAGACATGGCAGTACTTTTTTCATTTAAAACTCCCTTCAAGTATATATGTGACTTTGACCTTTGACACCATGTGATGACAAAAACTAATCTCTCAGCTAAAACAAACAAACTTACACAGCCACAACAGTTTTTCCAGCTGAAGTGTGAGCAGATACCAGCACGGACTGGTTATTTTCCAAACAGAGCAGGGCTTCTTTCTGAAACGGATCTAGTATGAAAGGATATGTCTTGGCTGGCTCAGTATCTACTGGTTTTAACGGAACAAATTCTTCTTCTGGAGGCACAGCAACCTGTAATATAAATTTGTAAATACCATTCTAATGATTATCTTCACTATTAAATACTCTCTAAATCTCTATAAAAAATTCATTTGGTAATACTGAAGATTCATAATAAATTTTCATAAAAAAAGTGACAAGCTCATGTTTATTGGCAAAAAGAAGAGTGTTAAAAAACTATATATAATATCTGTCCAAAGGAGATGGGTGTCCTCACTTACTACTTCACAATTATGTCATTCATTGAATGGACAACATAACAGCAGCACAGTGTGACAGCAGGATAGACAAACAAGAACAAATGTAAATGCCGCACCTCCTCCTCGTTGGAAAGTGGGGTGGGGGGGGCTAAAAAAGCTTTCAAACTGTTAAAAGTTTAACAATAATAAAAAAAACAGATTTTGATGATTTTTTGTGATGTTTTCAGGATGACGGTTTAACCCATTTGCTTAAGATCACTCTTGTCAAGTTTAATCAAAATCTTCACAGTGATTTAGTCAGCATTGGCTTAAAAAATAGTTAATTCCAATAGATGACACATTAGATCCTGGACATTTAGGGATTCTGAACATTCTGGTCTCAGGTGAGCTTTCGACAAATATTATGTTTTATACAAAGATTGTTTTTTTACCTCGTGTAAGCATGCCTCAACAGTTTCTACTGTGTGAACCTGGATTCTCTGCATGACTTCAAGGTGGCTCCTATAGAAGTCAAAAGAAACAAACTTCAATATTTGATGAAATTGTAAAAATTTAGAAACAAGAGGGTCAAGATGGCCTTAGATCCCTCAAACTAAATTCAACAGGTAGAAAAGGTTCTAATCCTATTCCTGTAACAGGGCTCGAGCTACTGGGCGATTCGGGCGAAATAGTCGCCGAATTCCGTCTGACTTCGCCGACATCCTACATGAAAGCGAAGATGAAGTCGCCCGATTTTATTGATCCATTATTGAAAATTACCAACAATAACTGTGAATAACATGTTGTGTGTGTTTGCTTTATTTACCCTCGCCGCCAGAAAAAGGGACTGTCATGCATCTCAATCAACCAACATGTCATAAAAGTCTAATTAACAGACACTCGAGGAACAATTAGACTCCGCCCACGGCGAGATTACCGATACGTGCGAGAAACCAATCGTAATTCACGTTTCAATCGAGGCGACATTATTAAACCAATCATTAAATCGCTAACATACAGTAACAATTATTTATGATGGACGGATCAAACGTCAATTAAATTTTCACTATCGAATGATTGTCAGAATTAAGAGGACCGCTCGACATATAACTGTAACGGTACTTTTAAATGAAAGTTATGATAAACTTTTTTGTCGACGAGTTAAATTTGATAAAATTGACGGCGTATTACACTGTATTTATTACAAATGTAGTTAAATTAAAGATCGATTCTTTCGTTTAATATCTACTTTCATTTTCTTTACAACATAAGTGAATATGAATATAATGTCCGGCGCAAGCTTTTTAATAGTAAATCAGAAGGGAATAACTGTTAATCCACCCATGATATGATCCATGATAGGAATCAACTATGGCTTTTTTATCTTCATTTAATGCAATGGTTGCATTACATGATACTCATTCTTATTATTACTTGTTTCAAACTACTTTTAAATTAAAATTGAATATTCTGTTGTAACACAAATCCAATTCATTTAATAAGATATGTACAGTGAGTCAACATAATTGCAATAACATACAACAAACATCGATAAATGAATCTCCTCACTTCTCCCTAAAGTCTCCCCACTTCTCCCTAAAGCAGCTGGAGGGAGAAGTGACTTCTCCCTAAATTTTGAACCTAGCTTGAGCCCTGCTGTAACCCAACTTTTAATTTGGTATCAAGCAATTGCATTTGATGTTGATTTCAGTATTGAGTGATATGACAGGTCAATTATTCATAAATTTCTCATTACATTTTTCAAAGGTGTATAAAAACTCAAAGAAAATTTATTAACAGTGTATAAATATAAAGCTGCCACCCCCCTCCCACTTCCCCCCCCCCCAGTAACCAAAAGGAGAAAAGTTAGAATGCTTCTTTTTCAATGATTTTTAGAGATTTCATTTGCATATGCCATGACAGCAGCCATTACCCCCCCCCCCAAAAAAAAAACAGGAATGAGACATTTTTTACACCAAAGCTTTAATTTGGGCAAACATTCTTTTGGGGGAGGATAAAATCTATATAAATAAAACAAATTTAATATTTACCCAGTTCCCTCTGTCTTTGCTTTTTTACTATGTTGATCTGTATTAACATCTTCAGCTGCAGTCCGCTTACTGGAAATACTCATCAACAGTTTTTCTGTCCTGTAAAGACAAATAAAGCTGTAATATGGATACCAGTGTTTTCTCAACCAGGTTCAGGGCAAAAAAAAATTCCCTTATAAAACTAATACCAGAATACTGCAATGTTCCCAATGAAAAATAGACAGCAGTTTTCCAAAATTCTGTCAAATTCTCAAAATTGAGAAATAGGGGAAATATATATACTTCTGGAGAAGAGGAAGAGGCTAAATTTCTTAAAACAGCACTGATGTTAATGGGAAAATCCAGTTTAAATTTTATTTTAGTAAAGCCATGTACTATTTCTTATTGAAAACACTTAAAGCCTTTAAAAACTTAAATCCAAATAAAGCTGTTTTTATGATCATCCATGTGTTGAGAAAGTAGAGCAAGCAAAGTCAAGGGGGTTAATCCATGCGCGCGCATCCTTAAAGTTCTGATACCGCGAACACCTCATCGGCCGGTATTTCGAAGAAAAACGAGTGGTGTGAAGAAATCAGAAAAGGTATGAATTTAATTTGTTTTGCAAAGAAGATGTCCTAACTTCTAGATTTTATATACAAAATGTCTTGAAGTAACTCTTTTCTGTTTTGTCAGTATTTCGCGTTGAATGCGATTTTGATTCTGGATAGTGCGTACACCCGGCGTTGAAATGTTACAGAAAATGAGCAAATATCGATTAAACTGGCCGTTTTAAACAGCTGGAAGTTATTCTGTTGTAGAATCCTTTTCAAAAATATATTTTCAACCTTCGTTCCAATTCATTTGTACTAAAAAAGTATTTAAACGCACTATTTACAGAAAACAGAGATTATGATATTGCGTACACTCTAAAAAAATCAAGATACTGCGTACACATAACTATGCAATTGATAGAAAAATTTTATCCGAAGCAGGCTAAGGTTTATAAAATGATAAAACGGATTGCATGGCAATCATTTAAAAACTACATCCTAGAAAATGTTTAGAATTAACATTTATTTATGCAATTTGTTAAATGTTTATGTAATTTAACCTGGTGAATAATTGTCTTGATAATGTTTTTATACTCTATATTTCAAAATAAATTACTTCTTACAGTCAATTTTATATTTTATTTCAGAAAATGAATGTGTGTCGATTTTGTGGTGAATTCTTTGCCAGTGAAACTTCTCTCAGACAACATGAGGCACGACATCGGCAAGATGGTCCCTACAAATGTGATATATGTAGTCAAGTGGCTTTTTCGGAGTACCATTACAAAACACACATGCCGCGCATTCCTCTGAACGTAAGTACGAATGTATATGTCGCAAATCGTTCAAGACATCTCATGATTTAAAACGCCACGAACAAAGAAAGAGCCAAACAAAGGAATTCAAATGTGATGATGTGGCTTGGACTTCTCTAATAATAAAGATGTTAGTGATCACAAAGATAAGCACGAGAAAAGAAAACGTCATAAATGTGGAAAGTGTGGCAAAGCACTCAGATATAAACACTTCATGGGCAAAAACATGGTTTATTAAATTGCACAAGAAAGCATATATTTGGAACTTGAACTAAAATCGCTTGCAGCAAGTTATTTCTTTGGAATGCGTTCATGTTCCACGAACTTTTATCAGTGTTTCCTTTGCCACACTTTCCACATTTATGACGTTTTCCATTCTCGTGCCTATCTTTGTGATCACTAACATCTTTATTATTAGAGAAGGCCTCTTTGTTCATAGCGTTTTAAATCATAAGATGTCTTGAACGATTTGCCGCATTTACATTCGTACTTGCGTTCTGAGGAATGACGCTGCATGTGTGTTTTGTAATGGTACTCCGAAAAAGCCACTTGACTACATATATCACATTTGTAGGGACCATTTTGCCGATGTCGTGCCTCATGCTGTCTGAGAGAAGATTCACTGGCAAAGAATTCACCACAAAATCGACACACATTCATTTTCTGAAATAAGATATTTATTTGACTGTAAGAAGTAATTTATTTTGAAATGTAGAGTATAAAAACATTATCAAGATAGACAATTATTCACCAGGTTTTAAATAAATAACCTAAACAAATTGTATAAATAAATGTTAATTCTAAACATTGTCTATGATGTAGATTTTAAAGAATTCTTTAAAAGGGACACCCATGCAATCCGCTTTGTCATTTATAAACCTTAGACTGCTTCGAATAAATAGAGGATATTAATTTTGTTTGTTTTGCATGTAAGATTGAAATATAATTTCACTGAGTGAACACCAGATGCAATATTTTCACGAGTGGCGTAGCCACGAGTGACAATATAATAGACGGTGTTCACGAATGAAATATATTTTAATCTTATATGTAAAACAAATAAATTTTCTTTTTATTTCATGCTTTATAAGTGATTTTAAGTATTTTTTTTACTGATTTTGCCGCGTAATGTCGCACATTCTCCTTTGTGACGTCATAATGTCACATCATGATGTCACATCATCAATTTTGAAATATAGTTATGTTAAATTTCTCTAATTTTGCTAAATTTTTAACATGATGTATGTTGACATCGACTTTCTTTTCCTAAGGAAGCAAACTTTACGTATGACGGCACTTATTTCAGCCAGTTATTCCATTTAGTTTAATTTTCTTTTCATCCGCATTCAGATATAGTCCGGCTACAGTGAAAATTATATTTTATAAATTGCACTAGATCTAGTGGTTTATCTGAATATAATCATTTGATATATTACAATAAAACACTGGAAAGCATGAAATAAAATGTACTTTCTATCAATTGAATACTAATGTGTACGCAGTATCTGGAATTTTTTTAGAGTGTACGCAATATCATAATCTCTGTTTTCTGTAAATAGTGCGTTTAAATACTTTTTTAGAGCAAATGAATTGGAACGAAGGTTGAAAATATATTTTTGAAAAGGATTCTACAACAGAATAACTTCCAGCAGTTTAAAACGGCCAGTTTAATCGATATTTGCTCATTTTCTGTAACATTTCAACGCCGGGTGTACGCACTATCCAGAATCAAAATCGCATTCAACGCGAAATACTGACAAAACAGAAAAAAGTTACTTCAAGACATTTTGTATATAAAAACTAGAAGTTAGGACATCTTCTTTGCAAAACAAATTAAATTCATACCTTTTCTGATTTCTTCACACCACTTGTTTTTCTTCGAAATACCGGCCGATGAAGTGTTCGCGGTATCAGAACTTTAAGGATGCGCGCGCATGGATTAACCCCTTTGAAAGTAAACATCATTTATATGATGGTATACATGACCCAGTTTTGGCCACTAATCAATTCGACCATAATGCATGTTATTATTGTATGACGTTTATCAATACATTTGTTTTTTCTTAAATTGGAGTAAAAAATTGTTTTTCATGCATATCCAAAGTTTCGTGTTTAAGATATATGTGAGTGTGATGTTAATTGTCTTTCATGAAACATGTTTAAATGTTAAAAATATATTGAAAATTACTTGGAGTTAAATACATGTACATTGTTTTTCATAAAAAAATACTAAGAATAAAGAAAATTAAGAAATAAACGGTTTATTTGTTGTTAAAATATTTACTCTAGAAATAATATAGGGTTCAAGGGTGGAGCATCTAAATGATTTCAGACTCAAGGGGTGAAGTGTCTTCAAAATTTGAGGGATAAAGTGTACGGGGGATAAGTGTGGGGGATAAGTGTCTTTTTCCCATTTCAAAACTAATATTTCTAGTGCATATATTATACTCTTACTAAGTTAGTCTTAGAAGTGTTTTTGCAAATGATAAGTCATTTGACATATTGAGTTGGAAAATCCATGTTCAGTCAGCCATCTTCCAATATCATTTAACATGTGGTTCCAACATCTCACATCAACAAGTGTTGGAACACAAGACATAGCATTCATGATCCCCTGTTCACCGTCTGTGACACAAGCAAACAGCGTTTTTTTTTATCTTATATTTTCTTTGAAAAAATTGAACAATAAATTCGTGGGTGTTTTGGAATTTGCGCTCATGCAGCATAAATATTGCTGGCATGCATTGGCATTTCCTTAAAAAGAATATGCCTAAATATCAACGTAGATACGTAGAAATCCCCCAAGTTGAAAAGTTGTGTCATAGCTGAGGCACTGACTTTCATTGTCAAGGTAAAGAACTCTTTCCAGTTCTTCGAACATAAGTTTATGTCCGCATATAACAACTAAATTTGGGAAAGTATTGATTACCTGAATGAACTGGATTGCTTGTGTCTATAGCTAAAGCATGGCAGATTGTATAAGGCATCACGAGATATTCTAAGTTCTGTGTTTCCTTTATGTCGCAGATTTTGGAATTTGTTTTTAAGTCCTTGGCTGTTCGTGCGTTGTCATGAATTTCTTTTTTATAAACTAAATTTCGGATCCTCCGATTTTGTTTCATTTAGGCCATTTTTCTAGACTGCTTGGCTTTGATCTTAAAAAAGGGCGTTCCTGGTTTTTTGAATTTCCATGGGACATCGGTCTGTGAGATTTGTTCATTGCCGATGTATTGAAACAAAAGGACCGTTATGCATTCAGGTTCATGGTAATAAATTTACAAATTCTTTTCAGATGCCCCATCTCGTATGTATATAAAATATTTTTCTTTAACCGCGGTATTTCTTTGCTGTGGAAAGACCCACAGTGCCTTGGTTTATCCAACGATGTCCGTTCAGCTCGCCAATCGCTGTGCTTTTAGATCCGTCTCCTTTAAAAATTCTCACTGTTTCGCCACCCCTTTCTATTGGTCTAAAAGGAAGCGCCGATATCGGCGCTCAGATTGTATATTTAAGAAGTAAAATTTGGTTTGTACTCAAATGACATTTAATTCTATGTTTCTACCTCTTAACTGACGTCGTCTTCTCACGTCCTCAACGTGACGTTATGTTGTAATATTATAAAGTTGTGATCTGGCGGAATCGTGATAGTAATGTAGATTAAAGATAATACTATAAATAGATAATTCAATAATAGACAAATAAAATCTTTAGTAACTTATATTAATATTATATTAAACTAATCTTAACAAGGAATAGACAAACAAGCCAGGGCCAATTAAACACCTTTTGTGGGAAGGGGTGCCTCAGCTTTTC